TTTAAAAGTGAAGGTACAAATAATTCATATAAATTCAATTACTAGAAACAAACTGAGTGTTTAATGTTCATTAAGTACCTAAAATATTATTTTTTTTCCTCCAGCAATATGATTAGGCTATTATTTTTATAGCTTAATAATGATTAAATATTTTTTCACTGCTTGCCTAGAAGGTGTCTGTCCTTTCTTTCTTTCTTTTGCTGACAAGCATGTTTCCTTTTCTAATTTGCTCGGTGCTGCAATATCCTTTTTTTTTGTGAGGTGCATTACTAAGAGCTTACTGAGATTCTGCCCAGAACAGTTCTGACTTGCAGACTACATCAGTACAGGAAATTATTCTGGAATAATGGTGTTTTAAGTTCACACTCAAACTTGTTTTGTCACTCACTTCCCTTCTAGGCCAGTGTTGATTTGACACTATTACATTGTTAAGGAAACTGCGGGTAATGTTACCTTCTGTTTGTTTCCTTGTATTCTATATTTAGTTTCACTATAATGGTAGCCAGTAGCAACCGCTTTAAGTTGACTAACATGGGTCGTTGGGTTTTTTTAAATGGCTTTCTGTGGCAGTTTTACTTTCTAGTGTGAAGAAGGCCTTGAGAGAACTGTGTGTCTAGAAGAGGAAATTATGTCTTGAGACTTTCATTTAGACATTGCTGCAGTATAATGTTTGACAAGAGGGAACTTTCCAATCTTACAAATAACAGAAATAAAATGTAGGCATTAGGGTACAGTTGTAACTGGAAGGAAGATCCCACCGTTGCACAGGACAGATCACTAGTGAGTGAGTGAATGTCTGTACTCGGGTGAAAGATGTCAGGGAACGAAAGGAAGGAGAGGAGGACCCAAGTATTTCAGCGCCTTATATGTCATCTCATTTATTTTGAATTTGTCACACGGGACAAATGTTTTTACTATTTATCAGGGAATGATCAGAGATGGACCTTAAGCCAAATTCAGTACCAGGAATGGCTGGCTTCTCTTCCTGCTTACTGTAAGATACCATCTATCATCTGATGTAATTAGTGCAGTTGATTGAGAAATAGAGATCTCTTTCTACAATGTGTAAGACTTGTATTCCAATTCAGGTACATAGTGGGTACGGCGAGGGTTGATTACTTCTGCATGTAATTTGTGTTCTGTAAAGGGCTCAGCTTTTGTATTTTTAACTGTATTTGCAAAATAGTTTAGGTTAAAATAGCATACATTCAGCAGTTATGTCAGAAAAGGAAACTGCAAATTTGTGGGCAACTGTTCATCATAAATCTTCCTCCCAAATGTGTTTTATGAACAAGCTACTAAAGTAGGATATTGTTGGAGTTTCTTTTTGTTTAAAACAAAGTTGGTTTAAGTCTGCCTTTTATGGACTGAGGAGTATCTGAACCCTGAGAAACTGCAAAGTCTGGGAATACTCTCTTAGTATCAGGAATGTGAAGTGGTAGTTTGGGGTTTGTTTTGTTTTTTAGAGGGTGCCCAAAATAACCACTGGAAAGTTGGTTGCATAATAATTGCATTGCGTTCAAAAATAATAATTTTGTTTGTATATAGAGAGCAAGTTAATATTTATTTCCTTTTTCATTTCTTGTTGAGTTTTGTAATGCTTTAAAGCAATATAGAATCATAGAATGGTTTGGGTTGGAAGGGATCATCTAGTGTCAATCTGCTTGCCGTGGAGGACCAGGCACTTCCTCTAGATCAGGTTGCTCAAAGCCCCATCCAACCTGGTCCTGAATACCTCCAGAGATGGAGCATCCACAACCTCCCTGGGTAACCTGTTCCAGTGCCTTGCTAGTCTCACAGTAAAGAATCTCTTCCTAATAGCTGACCTAAATTTTCCCTCTTTCAATTTGTACCCATTACTCCTTGTCCTGTCACTATAGTTCCTGATGAAGAGCCCCTCTCTGGCTTCCCTGTAGGCCCCCTTCAGATACTGGAAGGTTGCTCTGAGGTTTCCACACAACCTTCTCTTCTCCAGGATGAACAGCCCCGACTTTCTCAGCCTGTTTCTGTAGGGGAGGTGCTCCAATCCTCTTAGCAGCTTTGTGGCCTTCCTCTGGACTTGTTCCCACAGTTCCGTGTCCTTATGTCCACCTTGCTTTGCCTCCCTGAAGGAAGCAGATAACAGAAAGATTTGAGGAAGTTCTGCTTCACATGTTTTTTAACTTTCCCAAATTGCCAGGGAGCAAATAGATAAAACAGTAAAGCAGAAGTGGATCAAAGTATCTGAAGTACTGTGTACTTGGCAGTTTGTTTTGCTGTGCTATTCTGTTCCTCCCTTGGGATTCTGTAAGATTGCAGTGGGTGGTTTAAGTAGTATGTAATCCAACTGATCACATACTAATTTAAAAGATAAAACTGCAAATGTCCACCAGCAAATTATTCCTTTGACAAGTAAAAGGAAATAATATTTCTTTTAGACTCTGTAAAGATTCAGCCTTGAGTCGATGATGGTAGCATTTTCTCCTGAAAGAAAAAAGAAGTTTAGGTTTATTAGATGGAGTACTCAACATGTCTGTATGCACACACATGAAAAATTTTGGTTGTCTTACAATGGAAACTGGCACCTAAACTTACTGGTCATCTTGGCTTTGTCTGGTGTACTCAAACTAAGTGTTTCACATTACAATATCTTTTTTCATTTCCTGATTTTAAAAGTTGCCAGGATGTTCTGTGCCTTATTCCAAATCACGTGCTGGATTTTTTGTTTATGTACACACTCTCACACATACATGCTCAGCGTTTCTTATGTGCTGCTTGTTTACAGCTTTGGCTGTAATCTTTTGAAAAAAGGAATCTTTTGAAAAAGAATTGTCAGTTTGGGAGAAGGGTGTGTCGGAACATGCTGACGTAGATAGAGAGTTGCTCTGCATTTATACACAATACTGAGATGACCAAAGGCAAAATTTCAGCATTAATTCATGCACATAAATTTTGCAGAATACTTGAAAAACTTAAAAATCAGTGCTTCAGAAACACAGCTTTAGAATTCTACCTCTACTAACCCGTCACTATGACTAATCACTGCACATTTTGGTGCATACAGATGAAGCAAAAGTCTGTAGCAAGGAAGACATACCCTTGGAAGCAAATCATAGAATATCTTGAGGTGGAAGGGACCCATCAGGATGATTAAAGTCCAGCTCGTGGTCCTGCACAGGACAACCCCAAGATGCCACCATGTGCCTGAGAGTATTGTCCAAATACTTCCTGAACTCTGTCAGGCTTGGTGCCGTGATCACTTCCCTCAGGGAGCTCTTCCAGTGCCCAACCACCCTCTGGGTGAAGAACCCTTTCCCAGTATCCAACCTAAACCTCCCCTGAGACAACTTCAGGCCATTCCCTCGGGTCCTGTCGCTAGCCAGGTTAGGGAATACTTTAACAAACTGTGTGTACACAAGTGGGCCCTGGCAGGATGCACATGAGTGCTGAGGGACCTGGCAGCTGCCACGGCCACTCTTGATTATTTTCTAATTATCTTCATGACTGGAAGAGGTGACTGAGGACTGAAGGAAAGCAAATCTCAGCTCCTATCCTCAAAAAGGGCAAGAAGGAGGATCCAGGGAACTATGGGTTGGTCACCACACTTTATTACCCAGGAAGGTCATGGAAAAACTTATCTTAGAAACCATTTCCATGTATGTGAAGGACAAAAAGGTAGCTAGGGTCATTCAACATGAATTCACAATGGTGAAATCCATGTTCAACAAGCCTGAAGGGAGGGATTGAGGTGATGGGCAAAACCAGAAACATGGGAGGTTCAGTCTGAATATCAGGAAACACTTTTTCACTGTGGGGATGACTGAGGCCCAGCACAGGCTGTCCATCCTCAGAGGTATTCAGAAGCTGCCTGGATCTGGTTCTGACACCTGGCTCTCAGTGACCCTGCTTGAGCAGGGGTGTTTAGATAAGGTGATCTCTAGAGGTCCCTTTCAATGCCAGCCAGTCTGCAATTCTGTGAAATAGGTCTAAGAGTTCCTCATCATATAGAGAGGAAAAGTGTTCTCAGATTTATTTTATTTACTGTAACCCATAGAAGAAATAGAGAATGCACAGGAAGTTGAAATTGTAGTCGTGGTATATTATTCTCTGTACATTCACTTACAGTCCATTGCATTATGTGTGTTAATGCCTAGATAGATCTACAGATGACAAGAACAAGAATGTTTACTTTACTTATTTTGGAACAGTTGCTGCTAAGTTCTGAAGTTCTTTTCTTGTGTGGCAAGGAGTGTCACTTTTCAGAGGATTTTCAAATGTAGTGCAGAAAACACTGAATTAAGTGCAGAGCACAAAAAGACTGGAGGATTCACTGCTGCTTAGAGCTGTCTGGTGTCCAGTTTCTCACGGAAGGGGAAATGCTGAAGACTGGGGACTCTGGGCAGCTTCTGCAGGATAGGATCTCCTTAAGAAGAAAGGCAGTTAGATTCTTTTCCACAACAGAATTTTCTCAGTGGAAGGTGGAGAATTTATTGCTGCTGAAGTGGGGGTGGAGGGTGTGCTGCTTTACGTGGCAGTGTCTTGAGTCTTGCACTGTCTTATAAAGGTCGTCACTGCAGCACAGTGGTCCTCATTCAGGTGTTAAACAGGAGGGCTTTCCAAAGAGATCCGGTCTGTTTGATGCATTCTAGGTGTGCTTTAAGAGGTTTAAATTCTTAAGGAGATTGGTTTCCTTTAATGGGTTGTAAATCTTCAACAGAGATATGAACTAAATAATATGGACCTAAACAAAAAAGCACGGGAATCACTGACTTGTTTTGTCTGCTCTCTTATTGTTTGGAGACTGATACATCCCTGAAAGTTTAAGCCATGTTGTTACTGAACTAATGCTGCTTGTGTGCCCTGTTTATGCAAATAGCATTCCTCGGTGGTTTTTGCCTACATCTGGGAGCATCTAGTTCATTGAGTTCAGTGGCACTGGTATTTTTCAACATATTATGAATTTATAAGCATAGGAAGATGCACCATTAATGTAAATTTATTCCTCTGTTTTCCTCTGTCAGGAAGAAGGAAGTATCAAAGAAATTGCAATAACTCACCATGTAAAAGAAGGACATGAGAAAGCAGACCCTTCACAGTTTGAACTTCTGAAAGTACTTGGACAAGGATCCTTTGGAAAGGTTGGTAGCTGAACTCTTGTGGAGCCAGTTACTCAGGAATATGGAATTGAATATTGGAAGTGAAATATTTAGAACAGCCACAGTCTTGCATTAAAGCACTGTTGCAAGTGAAAACTGCTTTTTAAATTAGTGCTAATGAGGCACTGTAATTGTGGCAGATCTTTTTAAAGCGGTGGGTTTTTTTCTACTTTGCATAATATGTAGATTTCAAAGTTCAATAGAAAAAGTGGCTTGATATGAAATAATTGGGTATTCACTGTTAAAATGGAATGTCATTTTTTATAACTACTCTGCTGTGTTTGAGGGGGCAAAGGTTGAAAGGTTTTTTGATACGTGTTCCTAGTTGCTAACTGGCTAATGGTAAGTCATCATTAGTACAGAAGCTATAGGCAGAATTTAATTTTGTGGCAGATTGTAATTGTAATGAGCAAATTTTAGGCAGTAATGGCTGCTGAAATAAACATGATACACCCCAGTCTTGTTCATGCTGGCATTATCTGTCCTAATTTGGTTAAGGGACAATGTACCTTGATATTTATCTGAACATCTGTTAAAGACTCAATGTTTCTAGCATTTGGTAAGTACTGTTCACACTGAGATCTCACTGGGCACACAAGATTTATACTTTTAGTTGTCCAATCCCAGCTTGAAAGCAAAACATTAACTTCATATGGGCTGATTGGAATATGTAATGAAGAACAACAGAGCTTTTACATCCACTTTCAGCCTTAATTGCAGTTCTGAATGTCATGTTAAGCTCTAGCATATAAAGCCAAATCCATCTTGGATATGGGAGAAAATTAGAATAATATATCCAGTTCTCTTTTGGTGGTTTGGTTTAATCCAGAATCATAACTAAGTTTTCATTTGGAAATCTTCAGATCAGGAGAAGTAAATCATTCATGGGCAAGGAAATGTCAGCTAATAAATGATCATTTGAGCAATCACTTATTTTATTGATGTTACTAAATTCAGTACAGAGGAATGTGAGTTTTGAAAAAGCAAAAATAATGAACTCAGATGGCTCAGTTTTGCAAAAATGCCAATCTTGTCCTCAGTTGTTTTAGCCTTTATGCAGAAATTATTAATATTAAATTAATATTAAATATCCATAATTCCTTTTTTCTAATAATTTGTGAAGGTGTCACTGTGTTCCGTGTAGTTTAAAAGGAGTAAGTCTGCGTGATTTTCAAGGTCTCTTGATGATGATCTGGTAATCTCTGGATAGTGCAAATGGTTAATGTGAGAATTGGGTACAAACACAGACATAAAACTGATTTCATATAACATGTTTAACTTTCTCATGTACCACAACATGTTTGTAATTTTTTCATAAATAACCAGATAACCTCTGGCAGGTTTATTTTTCTCTTTTTCATTTCTAAATCTAAAAGTTGGCTCTACTGGAATAAATTTTGTGTTAAGGTTATTAAAGACAATCCCATTACACTGAAAGAAGGAAATGAAACACACTTTAATTGTGGCTGGTTGTCCTTTATTGGTAACATGCAACACTCATCCAAAGCATGTAAGAAAAAAATGTTTTTGTGACACAAGAGGTCAGTCTTATAATTTTATAGGTTATTTTTTGAAATTTATTTATTATAAATTGATTCATGTGGGTTTCTGGATAAAATTTTAATTACGCATTTATCATCATATCTGGCAATTATTTTACTAGAACATTTGATGTGCCATCTTATTAATTTCAGTAAGATAAAACTAGAGATCACTTTTAAAAAAGCTGGATGTTTTGTTTCAAATTTGTATGAGCTTCTGAGAGAATCCAAATTCATAATTCATCCTTTTTTCTTTTTTTTTCTTTTACTCATCGATACCAATTAAGTTAAGCCAAAATTAATTTGGCAAACTATCTTGAATGAAACTTTTAGATTACAAAATAAAGGAATAGTAGGAAAAAAATAAAGGAATTTTTTTGTTCGGATTTTCAGAATATAAAATTGTCAAATTGAGTTTCATTGAAATCATACTGACTACTTGAATTTCATAGCAAAATACATTAACCTGACTTGCTTCTATTTTCTTTTAAGAATTCTTTCTAATTTTCAATGCAGGTCTTCCTTGTCAAAAAAATCTCAGGATCAGATGCTAGACAGCTTTATGCAATGAAGGTATTGAAAAAGGCCACCTTGAAAGGTAAGCATTGTTTAGAGAGAGGGAAGGAAAAATAAAGAAGATAAATAGGGGACATTCTACCAAAACCTAATCTTAACACAGATGCTGTTCTACAGATTGTCGTGCAGCTTTCTTCTATCAGACAGCAAACAGCAGAATACACTGCTTTGTGTTGTAAACCTGGAGGGATTCTGTAACAACAGCACTGTGTTGGTAGTTATGGAGGAAAGGAGGTTCCTCTCCCCACTGCCTTCCTCAGGTGATGGTGGTTTAACAGAGTAGTTGTGTTACATCTGCCACCTGACCTGCTCCTGAGCTCTCCCTTGAAACTTAATATCCTTCAGTTTTTCTTCTGCTGTGTATCACCAAGGATACAGTTAATGCCTGTTGCTGAGCTTATAATTAGGTCATGATATTTAAAAGTGCATTGTATCAGCTGTTTAGTTCTAAAAGGTTCTAAGCACAGGAGTTAGTCTTTTCTTTAAAACGGATGTACACAGTACATTTGGCCAAAGTTTTTGGTACTTGTTCTGGATGTAGAATGTATTTTATAAAATCTTAAGTTACTTGAAATGTGTTGTAAATTGATATGTTTCTTGGGTAGTTTTGGTCTTGAATAGTATCAGTAGCAAAATAAGTTTAAGCCTGAACAATCTCAATTCTGTCTTGGAGAATTCTATCAGAAAAAAGAAATAATGTGGTTTTTTACTGTAGATTAAAGTGAAAGTTAACTTTCACACTAATACCTTAACCAGAATGTTTGCTTGTTCTTTTATGCCATTATTTAGTACTTCTGTCTATTTGAAGTTCTGGTTCATGACTGCACTGAAATAGCAATGATAATTTTGGGATGGTTCCAACAATTTGTAGTACTTAGCCTATCTTATTGATTATTATACTGAATTTCAGTTTTAACATACAGTTTATGGAACCATGTAAGAAACAAAAACTCTCATTGAATTGTGAACATCTGCTAAGATGTTAAACCTGATTTTTTTTTTTACTTAAGATCTTGTGCTGAATCATATGATCTCACAGATCTCATTATATATCACTTACCCTCTGCAGTAGTTTTAAGTGTATGTTTTTGAACAGTTTCCTATATTTTGATTCCTTTGTGGTTTGTGGCACGTGTCATTCTCATTATTTACTTCCTATTTTTCTGAAATTGATTTCCACTCATTTAAGGTACATTAATATCCTCAATAGCCTTTCATTCTCCAGCCTGTTAATCACTCAGGACTGGTCAAAGGTCATTCAGCAGTTGCTTTTTTAAGATGTTTGAGGGCTTCTTTTCATCACCTTTTGATTGCAGTTTAACCTTATGTGTGAAAATTACAGTCCAAGCTGTGGGTCTGGTTTTGCCTAGAGATGGCAGAGACTGATAAATACTGAAATTGGCAGCTTGACTTTTAATTGAAAAAGGAGACTCTTTGAGGATCTAAGAATTCGAGGATGCCACAGTTCTCAACACTTTGTTTTCTGAATTTTCAGATGTTTTTATGTGCTGTTTGGTTGTGATTCATGTTTTAGGAAGAGCAGAGTTGCAAGCAAATTAAGGTTACTGTTGAAATGTTAATATGAAATTAACTGGAATTAATCCTATTTTCCATGATTGCAACATTTTTTATATCTAATACTATGTTTTTTACATAATACAGTGTATTACTTGATTTGTCTCTGGTTCTTTACCTCTTTGAAATCTATTTCATAAAGTTGCTTTTGTGTTCTTAAATTAAAGGTAGTGCCCTTTAAGACCACACTTAAAAGCAGTGTGTGTGATTCACAAGTCAGATTTAGAGAGAATATTTTCATAGGGATGCAACTGTATTAGCCAGAACACATAGATGTAACTACACGGTCCAACTTTTTAATATTTAGGGCAAATCTAAGAATATACACATAAAGCTTTGTTTACTGCAGAGACTAGTTTAGTAATACACTCTGATAGAGGGTGTCAGCTTTCAGTGCCCCTTTACAATGGGGGGAGAGAGAGAGAAACAGGGCCCAGTCATTGCTGGAGAGTCTGGCATTAAATGTATTAAGAAAAATCAGTACTTCCAGTAGCATGCTAGTGGAAACTGTAGACAAACAAAGGTCAGATGTCAGGTCAAATAATGACTGATACTAATATCTGAAATGAACTCAGTTCTTCACACTTTTTTTGCTTGGAATTTTGTAAGTCTGTACTTTTTCCAACTTTGTAAAAATAAGGCTTGTTATCCATGTAACTGTTGCACAGTTCCAAGTGCTTGAAAGCCTTGCAAACTTTTTTTCTCAACTGAACCTTCCTAAAAAAAAAAAAAAATTCTGAATTTTAATTTTGTAATTCAGATGAACCGCTGAAATGGTGCAACTGCACAAATATCTTGTGACATTGTCATGAGTTTAGATGCAAAGGTCAAAATCTAAATGTGATGTTTGCTCTGTGTTTGAGTGCTTATTTCATGTCCTTCATTTTTAGGAACCTGTTCTGCAGGGAGATGGAAACTTGATTGCTTTATTAATTAATGAAAATGTATCTATATAACTTTTTCACAAGTACCTGTATTATTGTAAATGCCTAGTTCTGGGAAAAGATAGGTAAACTTTCTGAAAGACCCTTTAGCTTTTGTCTTTTTTTTCTTACTGCCTTGTTGTTTTAATATGTGAGAACTCTGGCTTGTTAACTGTGCAAGGAATGCTGGCAACTTAAACTTTGGACTGGACTTCATTGCTCTGAGGTACTTCCTTCAGGAGGATGTAACATTAGTGAAAGGAGCAGTAACAAAGTGTAGAACAAGGGAAAGAAAGAGAAATGCAGCATCTTAAGCCACTGAAAGCAAACTTTGATAGGTCTCTGCTGTTCAGAGCTCTGAGTTGTGTGTCTGTCCTGGCTGATTCGAAGCTTCAGATGGGAACCCAGCCCAGACTGGAGTGGCAGAGGAGTTGCGGAGGACGCAGCTGAAGCAGGTGCCGTGCTCAGCTGACCATCCTCTCCGTGTCTGTGCACTGCCAGCACTGTGATGTGGTGCTTCTGCATGTGATGCCCTTTGGAGTTTAATCTGTCCTGGCATAGGAGCACTTCCATGTCCCATTCTGAGCCACCACGGTGGGACAGCACAGGCAGCTTGAGCAGCAACTGCTTTGATGTCTGATATATTCCTCCATGCATGTTTACTCTAAGTAAATGCTCTTAAAATCAAAAAGATTGTTGGAAATATACACTATGCTGGATCAGTAGTACTTTTATTTTAAGTTCACGATAAAGAAAGGAAATCAAAAACAATTTCCCTTCCAAATTGTAAAAGTACTAAATATCCAAATAGTGCAAGTTATTTGAATGAGTTAAACCACTATAAACATCTTTATGGTAGTAGAATTGTATTTCTGTTATAAGTTTGTTTTGCTATAACTTGAATTCTCTGTGCTTTTCAACAGTAGAGAAAATGGCTATGTTTTCTATACATAGTTGTGGCAGTTTTGCTCTGATGTTTAAAAGGTTAACTAAGTATAGAGCAGACTGAAGGGTAGATAAGTTTGCTTACATGCTTTTGTTAAATTTATTTGCCCAGCATCAGGTTTTGTCAGTAGCACAAACTGAAGCAGATTGAAATGCATGAAGATATTTATGAGAAAACTCTGAACTGTGGAATAAATTCTTTCTCAATTCCCTTATGTGTCAGGTATAGTGATCTGCAGGCAGTCCTAATATTACAGGATACAATGTGAAGTACATCAGGAAACACAGAAGTACTGATACATAATGTAAATTTATTTTTTTTTAATGTTACTTGCTTATGTTCTGTTGTAGTTCGAGATCGGGTTCGGACAAAAATGGAACGTGATATCCTCGTAGAAGTTAATCATCCTTTTATTGTCAAGTTACATTATGGTGAGTTGCATAAAAATTCATTTTTATAGCATAAAAATAGGTGTTTGTCAAGGTAATAGCTAATACTTGCTTTGTGATTCTAAGAGTCATAGAACATTAGTGTGCTAAGTCCTGATTGTGCAGAGACTTGCTGTGCAGTAATCCTCATGCAAAGTAAGCACATGGCAGACTTCATGTAGTGTTAAATCTTTATGGGACTGAGTGCTATGTGCTATGAAAAAGCAGTTATCTGTTAATAACTAGCCTTTATTTTCCAAAATTACCAATCTTTATTATGTCCTACTTTAAGTTATTTCTTTTAGTTGCTTTGCTTACTCTATAGAAAACAGATGCAATGGCATTACTTCCAGTTGCCTCAAAATCAGTGGGAATGTGCCTTTTAATTTTAATAGTATGGGCAATTGGAAAAAAATGCTTATGTGGAAGATGAGAGGATATCACTACTCTTAATCTCTCATGCAGAAAGTAATGTGAAATAAATGATAGAAGAGTTTCTGGTTTGGTTTGGGTTTTTTTTCAGTTCATATTTTTCTTTTAGGATTCATTTTTGTAGTTCAAACCTCATGTCTCTCTCTGTGATCTGTTTTAAGTAATGTACCTTTCACTATTTTATTCTTCTGCAAACTAGACTCAATTGGTTAAGCTGCGTTTCTAGAGGTTTCAAAATAGGTGCATTAGTTACCAGTTTGCCCTTTAAATCTGTCTTGTTACTTGAAAATCTGGAATTAAATGCTGACTAACCTAAGTAAAGTTTATTTTTTTAGAAATTTCATTGGTGACTTGCTTTACTTTCACAAGGCATAGGAGTTGCTTGGTCCATGATAGAAGATCAGTTACTTAATTCATTTAAATACTTTTCATTAAATACATTTTTCCCCAAAGGAGAAATATGAATTCATAAGGAAAATAAGGGTGACTTATTTGGCATGTTATTTTTCTGATTGTGGGTAAAATTAGATAATGTTTACTTTTTTAATTGATCTTTTTCAGCTTTTCAAACAGAAGGGAAGCTATATCTTATTTTGGATTTTCTCAGGGGAGGAGATTTGTTTACACGTTTATCCAAAGAGGTAAAGTTTTTTAATTTGAAAAATTGTCTATTGATAAAACTTGATTATAAATTGTCTATAGACAATTAGGAGAGTTTACTTTTTAAATTTGGTTTTCATTGAGTAAAATTTTAATTTCTTTTTAACCACCTGTGTTTTCCATTTGGTTGGGTTTTTTGCACAAAGCAGTTACTTCGTGAAAAGGGAATTTTACATTATTTCTGAAAAAAAGGCTTAGACAAGTAGCCTTTCTGTGTGCTGCTTATATACCTGGTAAAGTTTTCTTCTCGTATTGCTTACATGTTTAAATATAAAACTCAGAAAGCGTATGGTTTTATATAAAGTAACTGTATTCAAAATAACTGATTTATGTCGGGTTTAATGTCCAGAATTCAGTGTCAAATAAGATCTTTTTAAATTTACATATGAATGCAAAATCACATTGTTTATAGATACTAAAAAAGCAAGAATTGCATTCCACTTGTTAACTTTTGGAAAATTACTGGAATGTTTTCCTTTTGTCATGATGGTGATATCTCTGTGTAGATGTGGGAAACAATAACCTTGAAGAGTTTCATTTCCTCAGATTTATTTGATACTAATTCCTAAGAAATGTTAACATTTAATATATCAGATTTTAAAAAGTTTTTTTGGCCATCAGTCATATGCAAAAACTTGAAACAATATAGGTTGATAGAGATATAAATATATCCAATACATATCTGATAACCTGGATTTGTAATTGTATCTACTTTCCATTTTCCCTTGCTACAAGAGTATCTGGGACAATTGGGTGATCACTGCAAAGCTACCTGGTTATTAAGAGCAGAGTAGAATGCAATGCATTTTGTGTATAGAGATATCTTCATTTCTGTGCTGACCACATAAATTATTACATATATTTTGGGGAAACCATCTGTTTCACGTTGTTTCTTGTAGTTTGTTTTGCCACAGATAAATAAAAAGTTAAAAAACTGAGATACTTTTCTCTTAAAATCCATAGTTCATTCTTGATTCCCAAGAAAAAAATGTATACTGATTTCTTGCTGATGACTTTTCCATCTTGAGCCACTGAAATTTTATAAAACTTAATATGGTTAGATAAGAAATATTTAACATAGGTACCTGAATCTAAGAGTGTTCATAAGTGATGAGTGAAGTGGGTATGCTGGAGGCAATTGATGTTGTCCTCATATCAATTTGTGTGATTTAAAAATAGATCAGATGAACTAAAAGATGCTTTTTCCCTATTGACTACAAAGGGAAAAGTGATTAATTCGAAGCTGGAGGTGTACACTGCAGATGTTGGAGGTTAGGAGAGAATTCTGTGCAATGTTTTTAAAGAATGTAGTGTGGGTGTATTATCCTCTTGAGATCTTATTATTTGAGCTTTTAAACATTTCTTATAGAAATTTCCCTTCTTGAATGTGCCTGTACTAAATATTGCCTCTTTTGTAGAAGTAATATCAGCAACAACCTTTTGTACCAGCTTTAGTATCACTTTTTTTCTTCAGACTGCCAGGGGGAAAATATAATATATTGTCCATTCTTAACTCTTGTTTAGAATAATTTTCATCTTTGCTGCCTATTGCCATTCTTTTTTCTAGGTCCATATGCTTTATCTAAAGATATTAGTCTTTAATTCTAAAAACAAAACAAACAAAATAACTGAGCAGTAACTGAAATAGAATCAAATCATGCAGGGTCTTTTTTTATTTTTATCTTTTTCATACAGTCTCAGAAAAGTTGAATTTTAATGTTTCCTCTCAGGAGTCACAACAGTTGATACAATTAGGACGACATGTTTGTTTCAATGAATGTAAACAGGGATTAGTTTATCTTCCTAACCAAAAAAGTGGGATTGCTACCTGGATCTTACCTGTGCTCTTAGGTAGACTATTTCCTTAGGTTACACTTTGACCTGCCTTTTCTGCAGTTACATCTCGAGGTTGCATCTTGGGGTTTTTACCATCAATGTAACTTCTTTCTAAAAGTACTTAGTCGTTTCAAAACCAACATCCGTAAACTTTTCTTGTCTTTCTGACTTTGTCGGCGAAAATCAGGTATTTGGATTTCTGTGGTCCATTTGTTGTCTAGAAATGAAATGGTCACATCCAGCAAAGAGGTAGTCACATTCTTTAAGTGCTTGCAAAATCTTTCAGTTCTACTACAATGTCTGTCTGTTTTCTGGAACAATCAGAAACTCCTAACCTCCCATTTTGCAGAAAGAATAATATATTGGCTTCAAAATTATTTTTCAACTATGTCCAAGTATTTAAAGTATGAGATAGTATGGGTTATAAAATCCTAGTTTTTGTGTCACCAATATATTCATTTCTAGTGTTCTGTATAGAAATGCGAATATAAGTATTATGAAGAACCATTCTGAAAAACTACTGTTGTTGTTGTTTAGTGTTAGTGCTGGTGTAAGCTTTACAGATTCATATGTAAAATACATTGTGTTGCTTTTTCAGGTGATGTTCACAGAAGACGATGTTAAATTTTACTTGGCAGAATTAGCACTTGCTTTAGACCATCTACATAGTCTTGGAATAATATACCGGGACCTAAAACCAGAAAAGTAAGGCTCCTCTGTGAAAAATGCAGTGTATTGATTTCATTTCTATAGCACTTCTGCCTATGCACTTTTTCTCAGCTGTTAAGCTTAAGTAATTTACTATATAAATTGAACAGAGGGAGGTGGGGGAGGTTTGTGGGCTGTTCTCATTTTAAAAGTTGGATTTCACCTGTCTCAAAGGGCAAAAAGGCTCTTAGCTCAGGGCTCCTTGAGAGAGCTTTAAACTGTGTTTGAAGGAGGATGGGAACAAAGCCAGAGATAAGATTGGAGGTGGCACATCATACTTTGAGGGACAGTGTGCTCCCAAGGTCCTTCCATCTGCCTTATCAGTGGAGGTAGAGGATGGGGGTCCATGCAGCAGCAAGGATGCAAGAATTATTGATATGATAGATATATATTATGAAAGTCAAGTCCTGCTTGACCAGCTTGATCTCCTGTGACAAAGTGACCTGCTTAGTGGATGTGAGGGAAAGGCTGTGAATGTTGTCTACCTAAACTTCAGTAAAGCCTTGGACATCATTTCCCACAGCACTCTGCTGGAGAAACTGACTTCCTGTGGTGTGGATGGGTGCCCTCTTCACTGGGTATAAAACTGGCTGGGCCCAGAGAGCGGTGGGGATTGGAGTTACATCTGTCTCGTGGCCAGTCACAGGTGCTGTTCCCCAGGGCTCAGTGTTGGTTGGCGACCAGTCCTGTTTAACATCTTCCTTGATGAGCTGGACAAGGGTCAGTTGAGTGCACCCTAAGCACATTCACAGACAATACCAAGTTGGGTGGGAGTGTTGATCTGCTGAAGGGTAGGAAGGCTCTCCAGAGGGATCTGGACAGGCTGGATGGATGGGTCAGGGCCAGTTGTATGAGCTTCAGTGAGGCCAAGTGCCAGGTCCTGCACTTGTGTCACAACAACCCCATGCGATGCTCCAGGCTTGAGGAAGAGTGTCTGGAAAGCTGCCTGGTGGAAAAGGATCCTGGGAATGCTGTTTGACAGCTGACTGAACGTGCGGTGACAGTGTGCCCAGGTGGCCAAGAAGGCCAATGGCATCCTGGCTTGTATCAGAAATAGTGTGGCCAGCAGGACCAGGGCAGTGATTGTCCCTCTGTACTTGGCACTGGTGAGGCCACACCTCAAATTCTTTGTCTAGTTCTGGGCTCCTCGCTACAAGAAAGATGTTGTAGTGTTGGAGCATGTCCAGAGAAGGGTAATGGAGCTGGGGAAGGGTCTGGAGCACAAGTCTTACAAGGAGTGACTGAGGGAACTGGGGTTGTTTAGCCTGGAGAAAAGGAGGGTCTTTACAACTACCTGAAAGGAGGTTGTAGTGGGGGTTGGCCTCTTCTCCCAGATAAGAGATGACAAGACTAGGGGAAGTGTTGCACCAGAGGAGGTTTAGACTAGGTATTAGGAAAGATTTCTTCGTTGAAAGGGTTGTCAAGCAGCGGGACAGGCTGCCTGGGGAAGTGCTTGAGTTACCATCCTTTGAAGTATTCAAGAAATGTGTGCATGTGGTGCTTGAGGACGTGGTTTAATGTTGAACATGTTGATGCTGGGTTGATGGTTGGACTTGATCCTAAAGGTCTTTTCCAACCTTAACTATTCTGTGGTTCTAAGAGCATCTTGCTTCAGAGTGATACGGCAAATGTTATAGTCCAAGTTACTTTAAATAAAGCATATACTGAAATATTCCTGCTTTTCATTTTCCAGGTGTTTTAATGCATGCAAAGGAGAAGAGGTCTTCTTGGCCTTTTGTCTTCATTATTGTAGGATTTCTGAATTAAACTTGGAACAAATGCATGATACAAAGTTGAACTTGAATGTTGTTATCTTTGCATTTGAAGCCTGACAGTAAACATGTTTTTTTTCCAATGCTGATTTTTAAAATGCACTGCAAATAAGAGCAGGGTGGAGTTTAAAGTAAAATATGAAAATAGTAAGTCATAGGCTTTATTTAGTGTATTGGCAATCACATAATTACACTGAAAACTTAAAATAAGCTTGAAAGTACAATTCCAGTATGGTGGTGTGTCTTGATATAGCCATCCATGCTTCATTCAAGTGACTGAATACTGTCTCCTGGTTATGCCTTTCCTCCCATAATTTTTTTTTGAGTTCTAGAAGATGTAAAGGAGAAAATTATGAAAATGGTTAGCCCTGACTGACAAGAATGGAAAGATTCCTGCTCAAATCAGGAAATTAGAGAGTTTTGGCATGGTATTACACTTACCAATGAACAGGGAATGAATTTATGTTTAAACTTTGGGAGTGTTCCCTTAAGTAATTCTTAAGTGAGGAAAAATAAGCTTAACGTGTGGAAAATGATCTTCAGAAAGCAAAGTGAGAGAACTTCAGTTATTTTGCTAACATTAACTTCCAAGAGGAAAAGGATGAAATAGTAATTGACAGAAAACTAGCTACTGCCTCAGACACAGCGTGGTTTTTTGTTGTTTTTGTTTTGTTTTTTAAATACTGTCTGTCTATACCTAACCTTAGGTTTACGCCTTGGATGCATATAATTTAAAAAAAAAAGTCAGAATATTGAAATTACTTGTAAATTATGGATAAGGGAGTAACAAGAGTAATTCTTACAGACTGTGTCTATATTGTGGGGCTATTTCCCACCAGGGAAACTGCAAAGAGGAAGAGGAAAGGGATGGGGAAATGGACAAGTAAGTGCCTGGGTCATGTCTCATCCCCAGGATGAAGCGCAACTCCTCACAGGAGAAGCTGGAGAAACGAAGTTTGCTGTGTAGAGGGTGTTAAAAAAATCCAGTTCTTGAACACTTGGCATGCTTGGAAATGTGATTGTATTCAGTGGTGGTGAAGGATAGTTGGCATCTTGAAGTGTGGCCGTTCTTGTGGTTTAAGTGAAAACATGGAAGCACAAGGCCTGCTCCAGCTATAGGGTCTGTGGGTCCTGTCCTTTGGTACAACATGAAAATATTTATTACTTGATGTTATTTGAAGTGGTCGACACCCTCTGAAATGGTAATAATAAATTAAGACCTGTTTTGTAGGCATATGAAAACATATCTGGTATAAAAGAGACAGAACTATACCTCTATTTTTAACAAATGTGAAAAAGCTGCATGTGAAAGTTCAAGATAAATGTTACTACATACTGAATTTAACCTAATGGTTAAACAAAACTTTGATAAGCTGACTGTTTCGTAATCCTGAGAAAGAAAGAATTTAGGAAAAAGAAAAAGTGTAGTTTGAAAGTGTCTTCTAATAACTCATTTTCATGCATGTTCAGTTCTGCTTGTCTTTGTGTATACTGTTCTGTTTATTCCTAAATGTCATCACTACATTATCCAAAACAACAGTTAAAAGATATTTTAATTAAGTTTTATATTATTTTTTTGTTTTTAGCATCCTGCTGGATGAGGAAGGACATATCAAATTGACAGGTGAATAAAGGGAAATTGCAATACCTGGATCTTTTCTGTTTGTAATAAAATCTTGACTTTTTTCTTTTGGTAAACCAATATGGTAAAGTAAATAAAAATAAGTAAATAAGTAATTTTAACTGATAGGTAATTTAGCTGTGGAGAAAATAGTGTAATTGAAATAAATGAAATACATAAATATTTCAATAAGATATCTGCTTTACAAGTATATCTGATATTACAGACCTATGATAATGTGGGGAGGGGAGGAGAATTCTGTAATTCCCATATTAGACAAATGGTAGAAGCATAACACTTCACATTATGGTAAAAGTATCAACCATGAGTGATTTTTTTTTTTTTTAATATATATTTACAGTTGGAACTATTTTTTTTTCCTTTCAGATTTTGGCTTAAGTAAGGAGTCAATTGATCATGAAAAAAAAGCCTACTCTTTCTGTGGGACAGTGGAATATATGGCACCAGAAGTTGTTAACAGACGAGGCCATACACAGAGTGCAGACTGGTGGTCTTTTGGTGTTTTAATGGTAGGTTTCTGGTAAATGTAAATAATAACAAAACTGTGCTTTGCAAGGTTTGGTGAAACAAATAAAACACTAACCTTTAAGGTGAGCTTTATATGAATTCTACAAAGGAAGTCTAGATTAAATGAAATTAATAATGCCACAAAGTTTGGATCAAGAACATGGACTAGGTTTCATATCCACACCAACAATATGCCATATTTTTATCATCATTTAATTGAAATACTTTGCATTTATATATGTTTATATATTTGCATCTATAGTAGTTTGAATGTATGGAGATCAAGAGGAATACTGAAGTATACAGAAAAAATACTGTCTATTCCAAAGCCGGGAAAAAATTTAGATGCAAGTTTTAAATTTGAATTTACTTTCAAGAGGAAAAAGAAGATCAGTACCTTTCTAATTAAAGTCTACAGTGTAATTAAAATTTAGTGAAATAATGACAGCTGTTGTTTTCACACATCACAGTAATCTAAATGACAATGAACTGACCTGGGATATAGTTGCTCAGTTGCTTATGGTGTTTCTGTAAGGGTTAATTACTATGAAGTTGCAGGTTTGGGGAAAATAATATACATATGGAATATAAATTTGGAAAAGAATAATTAATAAATCATGTGTACTGTTTAAGGAATGTTGAAAGGCTTTTAATATTTAAAATCTGTGTGAATTTAACCTGACGTAGAGGTTAAATAATTGCATTTTTAAAGAAGATGTTTTTGTTTCTTACTGCTTCTGCTACACAACTGTAACAGTGCAACTAATGTGTGTGCTTTATAGTACAAGAAGGACTCTTGTGTCTGAAAATAGGTCATCCTATCACTTTTTAATCATTTAGAATGCTGTTGTGATCTGAAAACTGACTATGTAAAAGTAACACCTGATAACTAAACTCTCTCCAGACAAGCACACACAGTCCTCATAACTGCACACGTCAGTAAGAACACAGTCAATTAAAAGACAATTACAATGTAGTTGCAGAATATTTGTTGTTGATAATACTAACATAATTAAACTTCAGCTTTACTTTATAAAGCTGGAAAACATGATTTTGTGTTTATGCACAGTAAGTGCATATGGTAAAATTACAAACAGCTGAAAGATGTTAGATGTGACTGGTGTAGCTTTCACAGTCTAAGTGCACTGCATGTTAAGCACTTTGGCTTCTACTTTGAATACAAAAATACGACCTTAAAAAACCAAATTCTCTGAATTAGTATATGGAATAGAGTGCAGTTTTCTCTAAGACATATTTTTGTTGCTTGCATTTCCAGTTGGTAATTTGCATAGACAATCTGTATGTATCCAGTTTTAAATCATTCTTAATTACTTTCTGTGTTGATCAAGACTTGAAGTAATGGTTGGTGTGGTGTAAGAACACAGTATCTAGACTGAGCAGAAATTATAGTATAGAAAGGGAGGCTCTAAAGATAGCTCAGCAAACCATTTGGCCTCTTTTCTTGTGCTGCTAGAAATGAAGTAAACCATTGTTGAGAAATGTATTGCAATTTGTCCTTTAAAATGGTGACAGTTTTAAGGGATGCCATACATCCAAAAGCTTTCATTTAAAACTTCATTTCAGAAGCATTGAGATACTGTCCTGCTGAAATAAAACATTATAACTAGGGAAAGTCAATATTGGCTTTTTTTTTTAAAGTACTATTGGCATATAATATTGGAATATAGTATTTGAGAGGGGCAACAAAGAATACATATTTTGAGCTGTCAATACAAATGTGTATGCTTGTGACAAATTAGGAGCTTGCCAAAGAACTTTGTATTTCAAAACATACAGCACTACAAATTTACCTCTTAAAAAGTAGTTTTCTTTCAAGTGCAACTTGTGAAGAACCAAACACAAACAAAAAACTTTTTTTTTATTCCTTATACCTCTCACATCTTCCTGACAATTGCCTTAACTGGTAAGGTGTTAAAGGTAAAAGTAGGGGGTTTGTTATGTTGGCATTATTATTAAATTTAAAATTTTTAAATATATCTTGAAAAACTGTTATTTAGAGTATAAAATACCTAGTAGTAGTGAAGAGTTAGCAGTAAGAAGTTTAAAATTTATTTTAATAAAATGGTGTTGTGAATAATACTGTTAGTGCAACTTCACACTCCTATTGTAGATCTAAGAATACTACAGTCACACATTATTATTTCAAGTTATCCATGTACATTTTTAATGTTTAGAAGGCTGAATGTCTGGGTCGTACCAGAAAACAGAGGAATAGGATACCTTGTGTTCAGTATGACTTAAGTTTGCATAAGCTGTTCAGAGAGCTCCTTTATAGTTATTTTAATTTTTATGTCTTTAACTGAAATTTCATTGAACTAAGTTATTTTGCAATTCTTAAACCAAAAAATATTGTGATTTCTGCCTAAGAGTCTGGCTACCATGACTGCTGCCAGACTGCCTTCACTACCTCACTTAGACCTGGTAGCCCTGCATTGTACTGCAGCCCAACAGAAGTGCCTTTATATTTATCTATTTTTACTCAGTCACTTTCAGAACAAATCAGTATTTTAACAGTGTCTGTTGCTTATTACGAGGCACTGTAGGATGTGCATGTACATACTGTGTAGCTCTTGCGTGTTCCTTCAGGCTTTATTTCCACTGTATGCACATAGTAACCACTTCTCATCATGCATGTCTTTGTCAATCAACTAACCTTTCCCCCTTTTCAACAAAGGCTATGTACATGCCAATTTTTAAAATTTTGACCTTTTTAAAAATCTCTGCATGAGGAGAAATCATCACTAACTTTTGAAAGGGGAATCTTTTTCCCTACCTGCCCCCTACTTTGTTGAAAACTAAAAATACAGCTGTGTAGATCAAGTCTTCCAAGAATAAACTTTTTAGGCAGAATTGAAACACAGAAAGTTACAGTCTAAATTGTTCAGGCAAAAGTATGTAAAGCAAGGTGTCAATATAGGAAAATATTTTGCAGCTTTAAAAAAGGCAAAGGCTGCTCAATGTTTGTAGCAATTTAAACTGTACAATGAAGTTGTTTTGCACAGACTTGATTGTTAACATGCATGAATTTTGGAAGGTTAAGATGCTAAGTAGTTTTGTCAAAAATTAGTTTTTGTCCAGGTAATGTAATTGATGAAAGTTTTACTCTATACAGTTTGAAATGCTCACTGGTACTCTACCTTTCCAAGGGAAAGACAGAAAAGAAACCATGACTATGATTCTCAAGTGAGTACACTCTTATTTATATATCTCATCAGGTATTCTACAGGGATGCCCTCCGGGCTGCAATATCTAATTTCTACTCTTCCCTCATTTTCAAAGGTACTGGTAAATCCTCACTCCCTATTCCATATTATTAATTCCCTTTGCCGCCTATCTAATTTGCTTTTCTATTCCTCCCCCATACCAGGTACAAAGAATTTCATAGCAGCTCTTTAATCTGTAATAATAACTTCAACCATATGATCTTTCCCATCTTATTTCATAATATATTTTTAACTTTCTTATCCTTTTTGATAACCTGTCCTTTTTTCCCTTGGTGGTTTTTTTTTTCCTTTGTTTTAGGTTTTTGGGGCTTTTTGAGAAAGTATTTTCTCTTCTTCTTTATCTTACCAGCTCCTCACCCTACTTCCTTATATTAATGGTGCTACCAACAACTTGCTTCCCCAATACTTCCTCTATTTGATAAAGTGCATCCTCCCTTCTGTACTCTCCTGTAACTTGCCCAAGCTCCAATTTTCCCCGTGGCTATTTTCAGTATAGATTTTGCATTAGCTATATTGTAGAAATTGCTTTCCTTCATGCAGTTAATGTTCTTGTTTTTGCTAATGAAGGCCTGCTTTTTCTTCCCTGCTGACTCCCCACATATCCTCTAAACTAATACAACCTATGGCATAACTGCCCCACTTTTGGGACTGTAGCCAAACACTGTGCAAACAAGTCTATTTCCTCATATCATAGGTTCACTTCTCTGTTTCCATCCACTTTAACTAATACCATTTTTTTTCCATGAAAGCTCATAAGACTATTTTAGTTTTCTCATTTTTTTGCTTTATTGATTATCATTGTTCTTAGTCCTGTTACCACTTGTCTACCCATATATCGAAGTTGACACTTCTTCTACACCAACAACCTGTTTTGAAAAGTAAATATATGAAATTCTTTCATATTTTTTCTAAGTAATTAGAATGTGAAAACCGCTAGACAACAAACTCATTCTTTTCCTTGCTTTTGCTTTCCTAATGCATAAGTTATGTTTTTCTTTGCCCTTGTGTTTCTTCCTCATCTTATTTGCAAATATATTTAGTGATGCTACTTTCTTCTGCTGGCTCAGCACCATGCCAGTTCAAAGCTTCGTGCTGTGGTTATTCAATGTCTTTAACTAAAAGGTTCTATCTATTCACAGCAATTCTCTCCACCTCCTATTTACAAGAAGCTAGTCTGAGATAATTCTACTGCACTCTCACTTGTTTCAGGAGCCATGCATTTTTTTCTATCCATGTCTCATGAGTCACATCTTTCTCTTCTTCCTTTTGCTTGCATGTGACTCCACTCTGTTTCTCAGCAGTCTTTTCACTGTTGCTATAAATATCTTCTGTATTCAGCTGCCATGTCGAATATTCTCGTTGCATCTCCCCAGTTAATTGATATTCATAGTCTTTGATAGCCCAGGGAGTGGTGGTGAATGGAAATACACTGAGCTGGTGGCCGGTCACAGGTGATGTTCCCCAGCACTGGGTATTGGGGCCAGTCCTGTTTAACATCTTTAGCAACAATCTGGACAAGGGAATTAAGGGCACCTCAGCCAGTTTACAGGTGACCCCAAGTTGGGTGAGAGGAAGTGGGGATCTACTGGAGAGTAGGAAGGCTCTACAGAGGGATCTGGACAGGCTGGATCAGTGGGCCAAGGGCAATTATATGAGGCCAAGTGCCGGGTCCTGCACTTGGGTCACAACAACCCCACGCAACACTCCAGTCTTAGGGAAGAGTGGCTGGAAAGCTGTGAAGAGGAGAAGGATCCTGGGGTTGTTGGTCAACAGTGGCTGAACATGAGCCAGCAGTGTGCCCAGGTGGCCAAGAAGGCCAATGACATCCTGGCTTGTATCAGAAATCAGGTGACCATCAGGACCAGGGCAGAGACCGTCCCCCTGTACTTGGCACTGGTGAGGCCCCACCTCAACTCCTGTGTTCAGTTTTGGGCTCCTCAGTACAATAAATACATTAAAGTATCAGAGCAAGTCCAGAGGAGGGCAGTGGAGCTGCTGAAGGGTCTGGAGCACAAGGGAACTGGGGTTGTTTAGCCTGGAGGAAAGGAGGCTTGGGGGAGACTTTATAACTCTCTACAACTACCTAAAAGGAGTTTGTAGCAGGGTGGGGGTTGGTCCCTTTTCCCAAATAAGAAGTGACAGGACAAGAGGAAATGGCCTCAAGTGCACGAGGAGGTTTAGACTGGATATTAAGAAAAGTTTCTTCACAGAAAGGGTTGTCAGGCATTGAGACAGGCTGCCCAGGGAAGTGGTGCAGTCACTATCCCCTGCAGGTTTTTAAAAAGATGTAGTTGTGGCACTTAGGGACATGATTTTGTAGTAGACTTGGCAGTGCTGGGCTAATGCTTGGACCTGATGATATTAAAGGTCTTTTCCAACCTAAACCATCATAGGAGTCCATGATTATGTAATCACTTTCAGATTTCCTTTGAGCATGAATCTCTTAATTCCCTTGCCAACTTTATTTTTTCACCTTCTAGTCTTTGTAATTGTTATTAGTTTCAAGTAGCTGCACAGAAAGTGTACAGTGGGTTTTATGATGTTAAGATATTTTACCCTCTTTAATGTTTTGTATGCTTATGAATAGTACATACATAAATTATTTTGCTGTTGGTAATATAAACAGCTGAAAAACAGAAGATATTTTAAAGTGTTTTCTGATAAGCTCACACTTGTTTTTTCTGGCTATATGTTCTCTTTTTATTTTCTGCATACTGGTATATTTTTCCTTAAATTTTTTGTAAAACTTTAAAATGTGTGCATATGAGCTGATATTTTCATAGTGTATCATTTAAGATATATTACTTTTCTTACCTTCTGTTCCTAAAAATCCACAGAAAATGCGTTCTTCTTACAATACATGGGTTTTTGCGTTCTTTATTTCTCTCAACATTATCAAGACAAGTTTTTGTTTATCCTTGTGTGTTTTACCTAAAACTGAGAAACTCTGTAGTTTGAAGAAATCATAGGTTGCAGCAATAAAGTTCAATTTTTAAAACATATTTTCTCTTTATTGAAGAGGTATGCCTTCATATAAAACTTTCCTGTTGTCCATCAGGAATGTCAGAAAAAAATTGCTGTCACTCATGTAGTTGCATGCCATAGGAACTCTGAGGACCTGGTGATTGCCTTTTCTTCTGCTGTGTCACATGTCCAGTACGGGGTTTTGTGAAAGGTGCCCCTTCATGATGGAGAAGGAGCAGTGAGAGTCATGATCTCTGTAGCTTGCACGAGGGCCTCTAGCTCACTCCACTGTGGACTGCAGTATATACCAGTCCTTTGTTTCTGTTTATTGAGTCACTTCTCCATAAAGATTAATTGCAGTTGGTTTTGGCCTGGTTTTAGATTTTTCTAGGCAGTTGACCTTTCATGCTGAGCCTCCAGGGCTGCATCTTCACGTTGGAGTTGGTTTGGATTACAATAGGACAGAGATTCCCACCCGCCCCAGCACAGTCCTATCATGCTTGTCTGTTCTCAGTCCTTCAGGAACATTGTAAATGTTACCATTGTGCTTTTGCAGACAGTGTGTTCCCTGCTTTCAGTGTAGCTCTGTGATACTTGACTATGAGCAGAAATGACATCACATGAACATGCAGTGGAATCACAAAATATAAAATGCATGAGTAAGAATTCAGCTGCTAATAGTGCCTTCCAATCAGGAAGCATTAGATAGCCCACTGCCCATTCCTCCACTCCACTGGTGGCCTTGATCTGCCTGTAGTATGTTCTTGAAGAGCCCAAAGAAGGCAAAGTTTTTCAGACTTTTCCTCCTCCCTGCTGCCGACTGTTTTAATGCTGAAAGGAATGGAAAATTTTTTATTAATTCTAGTTTTAAAGTAATGAACCAGTGGCAACACATACGCACTTGCTGAAGTGTCACGGAGATGGACATCTACAAATACCTGAAACACAAGGCAGATCATGTCTTCTGACTGAAACACACAAAGCTTGTGCCATGGAATGTTACAGAAAAATGCAAGCTACAGGTTGAATTAGTGATGGAAAGGAGGGAATTATGTCCCTCCTTACTATTGTTACAAGAAAAAGTGAGCGCTAGTAACAGTGAGAGAATGGAGACTCAGTGTTAAGTGGAGAGGAGAAAAATATGGCAAGGATTACAAAACTAAATGACAGAACTGCCAAATTTTAAACTGAAAAATTGAAGACTGGCAAGTTGGAAAAATATTTTAAATAGATTGGCGAGGGGAGTAAAAAGAAAAAAGGAGTGATTTTTTTATGGTTTTTTACCTGCTAATCTTTTAAAATGTCCTACCTTAGTTCAGTTGCTGTCATCTAGCTTAGGTTTCCTGTTGTTTTTCCTGGGTTCTCCTGGTATATATCCTATTGTGGTAGTTTTCTTACTCCTTCTAAACTATCTTTTATATGAACTATCAGAATGGTTTGTTTGGTGTCATTTGGTAGTGACTGGACCTATAAATAAATAAAGCTTATTGCAAAACTTTACGAGTTTGTAAACTGTTATCCTATAGCTATTCTTCTCTATGTGTTTTGCTACCTCTTCCTCTACTTGATTTCCTGAGTCATTACTGAAAATATTATACTATTCAAAAAAAAAACCAAAACAAACCCTAAACATGTTTACATGACTGACAGCACTTTTGCTCTGTGTCTGATGTCTGAAGGCAATTTCTCAGTGATGCTACTTTGTTACAGATTTTTTGAATGACAAAGGAAGGGAGAATGCAGAGTTAATTCTCACCTAAATATATTTGTGTACTATTAATTATTTTTATTCTATAGGGCCAAACTTGGAATGCCCCAGTTCTTGAGTCCTGAAGCACAGAGTCTTCTGCGAATGCTCTTCAAAAGAAACCCAGCAAACAGATTAGGTAAAATGTTTAGCAAAATATTTAAAATTTGATCATAACATTCATAACATCAATGATAAATTTTGTTTCTTGTGTAAAATAGGCTTTAAAGTAAGAATGTAGTTTGCCTGTTTGTTCTTCTAGTGATCAACAAAGTATTATCATTTCTGCTAGTCATACATCTAAAATTAATGCAAAAGAAATAAGAAATAATTTCGCTAACCGTTCCTTTGACCAAGGAGAAAATAGTTCACAGACATTTTTCTTCCTTATAAAAGGAGCAGGTCCAGATGGAGTAGAAGAAATTAAGAGGCATGCATTCTTTTCCAAAATAGATTGGAATGTGAGTATCTAATTAAAAATTAATTCAGTGAATTTCTTGGTTAAGTTTTAGTGGTGTCATATAACTTTTCCATTCACTATGTGTTCCTTCTCTTCAGAAATTATACAGGAGAGAAATTCATCCCCCTTTTAAACCTGCAACTGGCAGACCTGAAGATACATTTTATTTTGACCCTGAGTTTACAGCAAAAACTCCAAAAGGTAAACAGATAAGAATGAGATTATTTACATATTCAAAAAATAGAATTTGAATGGATCAGTTTTGCACTGATCCATTCAGAATTTAATAGAAAGTTCTCTTTACAAATTTAGGGTGTTACCGAAATTTCACTATTCTCCTACAAAAACATAATGCATATATGCTGCTATATGTAAATATTTTAGTAAAGTACTAGTATTTGTATTAGAAAATTATGTGATTATCAATTGTGTTTCTGGATGATATATGTGAAAGAATTCATTAATTATTTGTATTTTCATCCTCAGAAACACTGTCTGGAAATTCCAGTCTCTGTGTAGAATAAAGCTGTAGTTTGCTCCTCAGCATAGACATAATCTCATATCTGTATTTTAAAAACTCTGTTTGTAAGTAGACAATGTGTTTTTCAGATTCACCAGGTATCCCACCCAGTGCTAATGCACATCAGCTTTTTCGGGGATTTAGTTTTGTAGCCATTGCATCGGATGATGAAAGCCAAGCAATGCAGACAGTTGGAGTGCATTCAATCGTCCAGGTGAGTACATCTACTTTAAAAAAAATTGGTAGGTCAGTCAATTTAAAAAAAAAAATCAATGCTGTGTCTTGGTGGAGGGATTGTTTCCTTCCTGACAGGATGAAGTACAATGACAAAGTAATTATCAGCTTTTATACAAGAAAAGTAAAGATCAGATTGTTTTATCTAAACAAAATCTCTGAAGGTGCAGGACCTGTTTAATTACTGACCAACTGCAAGTGTAAATAGGCTTCAATCCTTAAATGAAAACATTTTACCATCTCTACTGAATTAACTCTTTTACTATCAAGCCATAATTATAAGATAGAGGCAATAACAGATGTTTTGACTTTTTTTCCCCCATGCATGAAAATATCAGTTGATTCCTGCAATGCAGTAGTAGGAATCACTGAAATACAATTGAGGATTGTATCTGGATGTTCTGGACTGCTGTGCATCTTGGAATCCATGACCCAGGACATATTCTGTCACTCCCAAACCACTTTAAGTTAATTTGCTATTCTGTGCTATTTTGTGACTGATTTCAGTGTATCAAACAAGTCAGTGTTACAGTATGTGCTCAAGCTTTCACTTCCTTGAAGTACTAGAATGACTCCAGTACAGTCTCCTGTATAATTGTCACTTTTAATAGCCTAATGCATTTGCTATTCTTAAATATTCTGTTACTGCCAATGCTGCTTATTTTTGTTCAGCAGACCTCTGGGAAGGCGCAGTTTTCTGTGGGACAAGAAAGGTGAGCCTCTTGCTAGAATAGGGAGAGGCTTGCCTTGCCTCCTTATGAGGCTGAGGTCATTCCAAAATACACTGGAGAGTTTACAACTAGCAGGGACAAAAGCAGATGCTTGTACAGGAGAGAAAACTGGAAGATCTCTTCAAAAATTGTTTTTCTACCTCTTCTTTCTGCTTTTAATAATTCTAATTACTGAGTCATGAAAACCAACTGGTGATCTAAATTGTATTGAAAATTTCATGATGTATGGGTAGGAAATACAAAGGTGTGGTGAATGATTGGGTTTATTTGTATTTTGCACTGTACAGGTATTTTGAAAATGTCTGAGAAAATAAAAACAAAACCACAATTTATTCAGAACAAGAATAACTCTTGTATTTCCTTAACATTGTCATTGTGTCTAGAATAGTCTCAACATGCTTTTTTCTACACGTTACTGTTTCATGTGTAATAAAAATTTTGAAAATACAAATTTATATCCTTTTTTTATTCTCAAGAAGCTGTCTGATTTGATATACGCATAGGATTATTTCTGGTCCTGATACCTTGCTAAAAGTTTTTTCAAGCTGTTCTGTGCTGCTTCTTTCCCCCATAGTTTTGTGGATCAAATTATTTCTCTTTGTGTGTGGTTTCCTTCTCTTGTAAAAGTCTGTTTCTCTGATGCCTTTCCTCTGTGCCCCTCAACCACTTCCTCACTCCTATTTCCTCTTTTCTGTGCTGCAGGATACCCAGATGGTTTCCTGCAAATGCTTTGCATCCTTTGCACAAACTCCTTACACTAGAACACCATTTCCTTCCCTTACAAGAGTGAACACTTGTCCTTCTTGCAGCTTTTTATTTCTGTTAAAGGATTTTTTGACTGCCATTCCATGCAATTCCATTTAATTATATTCTATTCAGTATGTCTGAATTCTCCAGCTGGCATTCATCTGTCTATTCAGATAATAGAAACAAGTGATACTTTTTTACCATTGTCGTATCACTATTCTATCTTGAAGTCTTCTGGTTTTCTTTGGTTTGGAAATTCTATCTTTAATAAGTCAGTAATCAGAAAAATAATTCTGTCAGTTTCTAAAAAATACAGTGTGCATTATTTACAATATGTCTAATTTACAATTTTTCTCATACTAATTTTAAACAAAAGGTAGTGGCTCTTTAGACCACTTTGGCATTGTACAATCATCAGTTTAAAGTTTGAAGCAAATCAACAGGAATTTAAAAAAACTTATTTCAATAAAAATATCAGTTATATATTAAGAATAATCATCAATTGATAATATTATTTTGGTAGCAGTTGCACAGGAACAGCATTCAGTTTACTGATGGATATGAAGTAAAGGAAGATATTGGAGTTGGGTCTTACTCTATCTGCAAGAGATGTATTCATAAAGCTTCCAACATGGAGTATGCTGTAAAGGTAATGACTGTTATAAATCACATTTTTCAGAACATAAAAATGAAGATAATTTTTAGTATAAAAATATATTATATGCAACTGTGACCTATACTAGTCAACCAAATAGAATATATATTGGGAGATATTTCTATAGTATTTCTATGGCTTTTGTTATCTATATGCTTTTTTGGGTGGTGTAAAGCAACCTTCAGTCTTTGAATCACCAGTATAATTATGGCAACTGATAGGAGCTGCAAGATTGCTTCTAGGAGGAAATGTACTACGAAAAGCTTTCATGACATTTATCATTTTTTTATAAATGTAATTAATTACTTTTATTCAAACATAGTTATATATGGTTTTTTTGCTTCCAAAGAAAATTCATGAATTCTCAAGTGGGTAAGGCATTTGTAACAGTGTTAAGTCTGGTACAACTTCCAGAATAACTTCAGATCTGTCTTTGCTTCCTAGTTTTCAACAAGATTTTTAATGTTGTTATTATGTTATTCTATTGGGCTTTCTTAACACTTCTTTGAAGGCATTAAATTCTTAGTTGAAATCAGTAGATTTCCCAGAACTGCAATTACAAGATTTTTTGTCTTTCTGTATAACACTGTGGGACTGAATGGTTACTATGAAAGCAGAAGTATGGATTAGCAGATATTCTAAGTGGAAAAATAAAAGCAGTCTTTAAATCCTGTACTATGAGAGAGTTCTCTTTTTTAATTGCTGAACAGCTTACTACTTAATTATGTAAAATGTGAAGATGAATTATGTTTTGCTGTACCCTTATATGTAGATTGCCTACTGGGGACCTTCCAGTTTCAATCTGGTAGTTAAATGCTTATCTTTATTCTGGTTCTGACCAGGAACAGATTTGATTTCTGTGCTTTCAATTTGAAGTAATTTTTTTAAATTGGAAGAAAGTACTGGCATAGCTGTTAATTCCCTCAGCTACAACACTTACTCTGAAGATTGCCTCACTTTTTCTATTGCCTCTGTTAAGGCATTTTTTTTCCTCAAGGAATCAAGACAAAAGGAATAAGGTGATCAATATCTGATGTGTTAGGATGGGGCTGGTAGCAGTAAGAGCATAAGATGATGAAGGGTAAGATAGAGATGGAAAATACATTATAGGAAATTCTACAATTCAAGAGAGGAAAAAAACAAAGAATGCTTTCTAAGTAGGGCAAAATAATATTTTTTTTGTTTACAGAGGGAGAACTTCAGAGCCTTATAGCAAGTCTCCAGAGATTCAAATGGACTTTCATAATTAATGCTTTTACTAATTTTTTTTATTCTCTCATGCTTTATCTTTTGCTGCACCAAATATTTGTTTGAGATCAGTTCGTTAACAACATCAAACCAGTATCTCATGTTAATTTAGGAACTTCTTATTTTATTAAATAAAGGGTGACTGAAGACTTATCTACTAAACAACTTTGCATTGTTTATCACAGCCAAAGGGATCAGATCACTTATCTTCCAAAATTCTTTTCAACAGAGATTTTTTTCATTTTTTTACATTTTTTGCTTTGCCTTGCTGTTCCAATTTAACAAACTGGATTTGGGTTATAATCCATGCCATGTACAATAATAAATATTGTTTAACTGTTTATGCCAGTAAGCACCCCAAAGTGTTACACTATATAATATTCACAAAAAGAATTATACTTCTGTATCTATTTGCTCTTACAGATTATTGACAAGAGTAAAAGAGATCCAACAGAGGAGATTGAAATCCTGCTGCGCTATGGACAGCATCCAAATATTATTACCCTAAAAGATGTAAGTGGTGCTTTAGAGACATCCTCTAGTGTATTATAATTGTGTATCACTTTCTAATTTGAGAGATGACAAACCACATGTTTTAGATTTGTGTTCATGTTTTTCAGTATTTAAAAATAAAACAATGTCCCAATGCAATTTATTCAACAGTATCTAGGTTTTTTACAGGCATGTTTTCTTTTAAAGATGCTCATATTTTGGTACAACATAATCCTAAAGAGTCAAATAACTCATCCTTCATAAATGCTAGCACAAGAATAAGTCATTTGACATTGGCGGTATTTTTAAAGCAACAAGCAAGTTTTTTATTGCTTATTTAACTTTGAATCTGCTTTTGTCTACATTAATCAAAGGCAATTTTAATGTACATTATTATATAACTAAGGACTCACTGTTAGCACAGTACTCGAAGTAATTTTCATGGACAGTAGCAAGTATTACTCAATAGTAGACAAAATCTTTCCATATTCATGGTTGTCACTCTTTTTTACCTAGTATCTTTGTCTGGTCTTTGTATGGAACACTATCTAGCTATTTTTACTTTGCTATTTGCTCTGACCGTAGAAATGCTCTGACCATAAAAAGCAGGGAATAGCATAAGTTGGGAGGTAGAGGTTTTTCATAGTAAACAGTAGATTCTGATGATCTAACAGAAAAAGAAAGTTGTCTTTCTCCCCTTGATTATTCATTAAAGAGGATTAAAAATTAAAAAGGCATATGCTTAATGACTTTCTTAGAGTGCAGGAAAATATTCTGGTTCCCCCAAACCAAACCTCAAGCAAAACAGCAAACCATTTCCTGGAAGCTGAGCTCAGCTGAAGGGAGATTATCAGACATTTCAAAGTCATTAAAACAATAACTCATAAATACTGTGGAGATGAGCACTAGAGAACTCTGCATGAAGTTCTTCTACTATAATCTGTCTTCACCTTATCAATATCCTACAGTTTGGCCCTTTCTTGGATGAACAAAATAAGGCAGATATACAGGGGAGCCCACCATGGAACTTTCCTTACTGCAGGCTGGATACCATAATTGCAGTCCCACTTTCTGTTCTGCTTCATGCAGACAATAAAGCAACTGTGCTAAACAGAACCTGCATCAGCATTCATGTTGCTCTTAGTGCTGCATGCTGGCTCGTGTGTTACTTTAAGTCGTAATAGAGGTTATGTTATTTAAGTGGGAAGGCAAACATAAGAATGTGGGCACTTACCTGAACTTTAGCTTTATGAATATTTTACACTGAGAACAGAGAAATCCAGGCAGCCTTGAACAGTTGCCATATATGCTGAACTATTTTACTTTGTAATTAATTTTTTATCACCATCAGTCATCTTTCAGCAGGAACCATCTTTCATACACAGCATCAGCAATACACAAATAGGAGACTGCAAAAAAAAATAAAAATAAAAGCCTTAAGCCCAAAGAGAAAGAAAGACAGCAGGCTGTGATTCTCTGTCACTTCAGCTTCAGATCAGTTCCCCAAGCAGACATTATGAATGGTGTAGGATTCATATATAATAAAAACTTGTATAATATCCAATACCATAAGAATTTAACATTAAGTTTTCATTGTCCTGAATCTGTAGATCCATGGGGCAGATTGCTCGCATATCCCACAGTATAGTGGTGTGCTATTGCAACTTTCAGAGGAGACAATAAGAAGTGTTTTTCCTTCAGGTCTCAAACTTGAGCACCATGTCTCATTATAAAAATAAAACTCATTGTTGATTTGCTCCATTTTTCATTCAGTTCTGCATCAAATCTTAAATGCTTCTATTCTGAAAAGCCAAAATAAAACATTTCAGCATGTAAGTGCCTGTCTGTGGAAATAATTATTCTGCAAGAAATAGTTTCTTTTCTTCTATTTCAAGAAGAAATGCAGTAATACTGGAATTAAGCTTAAGATGGAAATTTTAATTCTTGTTCAGCCTTTTTATGTTATTTAATTCTGTAGGTGTTTGGATTGAAACAATGGATATTCAAAAGACCAAATTATTTCTGCAGTGCACAGTCCTCTGGGGTTTTCCTTCTGATTGTTATCAGTGGTCTTTTTCAGTTGCACAGTATATAAACAAAAGAAGGAGCTATATTGTGCTAACTCAGATGTCCTTCTTATCCAATATCCTGCCCCTGACAGAGGCCATTAGTGGATGCCTAGGAAACAGTGTAAGAACAGAGGAAGCACACAGCTTCCAACAAAACATTACCTAGAAACTTCCTGTGCCAGGCCATTATATGTATGTATTTTAATGTATTAGTTACTGTGCTGTAGCAACACTTTTGTACTGTTTTGAGTTATTTAAAGCATTGTTTGAAGAATCTTTTCCGATGCATTTTAGAAACTTGAGTATATCCAGTCTTCCTGTCCAAGTGCTTATTTATGAGTTAAAAAACCGCCTCGCTATATATATGTAAAATCTTACTTCACTTTGCAAGAACCTTGTTTCCTTTCTCCATTAAATTTTATGTGCCTACATTTGTTTCTCACTGTAGTTTCTTCCACTTTGCCTGGCAGAGAAGACATACCAACTGATCTTTGGCTTGTGCCCAGAGTAAATTTAAAAAGTAGGGTCACATTTATGATCTTAATATAATACTGTGCACCTGACTGTGAAGAAAACTTCAGCAGTATTTATTCAGTGCAAACAACTAAGTTGATAATACCATTAGAGGCATGGGGGCGAGGGGAGTGGTTTGTTTGGGGTGAGTTACTTGTGGGCTTTTTTGGCAGGCAGACAGGACTGGCAGATAAAATAATAACCAAATGCAGATTTTGCTTGAATGCCTTCTGCAGTGCTGTGTGTGCTCTGTCTGTCAAATGAAATAAGCTTATTTCCTTATGTTATACTAAGATTACAGAAAGCATGCTTATTAAAAAAATATCCAATCTAGTATCTAGAATTAGGTAATTCTGTTTTTCAGTACTGTGTAATGTGTAAAGTCTTAATACAAACACATTCAGAAGATCAGTCATATTTTGTGGAGGAAAATTTCTGTTGAATGATAACACAGAAACCCACCATGTCTTCCTCTCCTTAAGATCATGAGCATGTAAAGCCTGCAGAATTATTTCTTTAACATTCTTTCTCGTTTTTTTTTTCATTTGGTGAGAAAATAAATCCTTTTAGTATAGTTAAGAGCACAAAAATTTTGAAGCTTAGAACTTTTGTAGCATATATTTCCCAGGGATTTTCATGGGAAATAAGTAAATGGGGATGAAAACCTTTATCCTCTTTTCTGTTATTTAGCTGATATCTATTCCCAGATTTATTTTAGTACAACTTGGATAATTGTTTCTACTTAAACTAGTTCGAATTTCAAATGTTTTACTGAAGAAAATAATGTCAACATCACCACAAAAAAATAGGTTGAAATGATAATAGGGAACAGAGCCTGTAAAAGTTTTCACCCAATCAGGAATCAGTTCTGGATGGGTGGTTTGAGCTGAGCCAAGGCCAGGTTGGATGGGGCTTTGAGCAACCTGAAAGGTATCCCTGCCCATGGCAGGGGGGTTGGAACAAAAGGATCTTTAAGGTCCACCATTCCATGGAAGTGCAACTGAAATGAAATGCTCAAGGAGATACCTAAAAATATGTTTGGCTATTACTCAGTCTGTAGCGCCCCCTGGCGATAATATAAAATAAATCCCAACTACTGCTTCCCTGGAACATAAAAGCCATGAAAAAATTAAACCATTTTCCATAACTAGAAGTAAGGGCTAAAATATGCATATTTTATAAATTTTAGACTTCTATATAGGCTTTATGTGCTTTGTATGCATTCACTTCAGTGTTCACAGAGGCTATTTGAGGTAAACTGCCTTTTTTTTTTTTGCTCACTGTTCAGCTGGAATGATCTCTGTTCACATTTGTAATTTGGTGCAATAATTGCTGCTAGAATTATCTCTGCCTTAATTAGACTAGCTTCCATTTTCTACTACTTAATTTCTCTTGTGTCTAGTTTAATTTTGTTTCAGTAAAACTGTTGGTGGAAAGCTACATGTTAATCATCCTTTTTTGTCTTTAAACACGTACATGTCAGTATTTTTATGTTGTTTCATTACTATACTGCCTTTCTGTAGAGGGTTTTGTGTTCATTTCTGAAGATGAACCACGTTTGGATAGTGTGTGGGTTGAGAAATGCGGGAAAATAATCAAAGAAAACAGTTTGTGGACACACCTGCACTATCTCTGAGCATTTCACAGGAAGACAGCAGAGAACAAACATTTTGAAGTTTACATATTTATGTACTTTTTGCAGGTGTATGATGATGGAAAATATGTATATGTAGTAACAGAACTGATGAAGGGAGGAGAACTGCTGGATAAAATTCTTAGGCAGAAATTTTTCTCCGAACGGGAAGCCAGCGCTGTTCTGTTCACAATAACAAAAACGGTGGAATATCTCCATGCACAAGGGGTAAGTTTTCATCTGGGACAAAATGTTTGTAGTTGTTAATATTCTTCTCTTTCAGAAGCATAAATTCATATCTTGGTACATTCTTCTGTGTGGTAATTAAGTAATTCTTTGTAAACAATTACATTGCAGCAGGAATTTGTGTTGAAATCAAAACATTCTTTATCACCTGTTTATGTGTTCAGATGACTGAGATGATGCAACTGTTTCTGTTGTTCTTCATGCAGTCTGTCAGCAGTTCTGTGGAATATGCAGACAGTGGCTAACAGAAAGGATATGAGAGGAAGAAAGTCCAGGAAGAAGTGCTAGGACCAGTGCTTTTGCTTAGCCATGGGACCTAATATAATTCTAATCTCGTCCTGTGATAGACCCTGAAAATTTATTTTCCACCTATCGCACTTGTAATTTCTTTGACTTCTTGGTTTTGAAGAACACTGTTTATGACTTGTAACTCCTGTGCCAAAGGGTCAGGAAGTTGTAGTAGACTCTTAGGAGACAGAAAATAGACACTTTTAGAAATTACTCTCGAAACAGAGGTAGTTCAAATATAGAGAAGGACAGTGTGACAATTGCATGGCAAGAATGACAAGTTGTGTTGCATTTTTAAGTAAAGAAGAAAAAGGGAATAGAGAAAAGGCAGAAAGTACAGGTGCAAGGAAAAGTCAAATTGCTCATACATGATGTTATTATCCAAGGAAAGATGCTTTGGAACACACAGTACTCAAATTATTTTAAGTAACAAATAACAATTCAGCCCACACTGTCATTTCTGAAAGCTGTTATTCCAGAAAACTTACGGTCAAAGTTATCTGGTATTTTATTCTGTGATTCATCACTTTCTCAATCACTTGCTCATGTGTGTGGTTTTGAGTCTGTGTGCACAGGACGAGAATCCTTGGCCAGCAGCATCCCTGGGAATTATGAACAAACTTTGATACCTTCTATATGGAAATACGGATAACAGAATAACAAATCATAACTTGGTTCGTTCTTGCCAAATGTGGCCAAAAGAGGCCCAGTGTCCTTGCATCAAGTAAAGGATTTTAGGAGCCTTTGTTTCTTTACCATAGACCTCTGTAAATATTGGCATTTTAACTTGTATTAGGCCACCTGCACTTTGGAACTTTGGCTTTTGGAAATTTTCAGGTCTTATGTTAAGTACATCTCCACATGAAAGATGGCCATATATGTAAACAGTGAGCACTTCAGTAGTCTAATTATAGTCTGGAAGAGTTCTTCCTGTCTTCAGTGGATTTTCCTGTTGTCACTCCTTTGGACTCTGGAGGAGCTCATTTGAATATGGCATTATGTAATATCTGGTTTGACAGACTCTGAATCTGTTCGCAGTCTCCATAACCCTTCCCAGAAGGAGTTTCCTCATGGACATTCATAGGATACTTTTGAACTGGAAAATTAGCTAAGTAAGGAATGAAATCCTCCTCTTCATCCATCTCTCACTCAAAGCATTCTAAAAGCATACAACAATTAAAGATTGGCACAATAGACATCACTACAACGATAAACAAGATAATATCAATATAACCTATACAATCTGGCATATTTTTTTAAAAATTTTATTTCTAAATATTTTCAAAATTTAATGCAGGAACATATTTATTATTTGACATAAACATTTTGATTGCTTGAGAATTAGCATATGCATTTGAACTAGACTGTTACACTTATTCTTCCCCCTACTTGAGAATTGCTGCCCCTTCTTCCAAAAAAAGCATAAAACTCAAGCAGACTAATTATAGAAACTGCCAAATCTGTGCTGCTTCTATTGCCCACTTTTTCCTTTCTACTCTTTTTAGAATCTATTTTAAAAAAAAAAAGAAGGATCAATGCTAATAAAACTGTGATTTTTTTTTTTCCTCTACCTCTTGGAGCAGTAAAGGATGTTTCACTTAGAGAAAAAGGTTTCTCATCTATTTGAACACCAAAAAACAAGGGCTATCAGGACCTGGTTCTCTTATACACTGATATCTAAAGCCAGGATGTTGCCCTTGACATCTACTGTTCCAAGTCAAATTCTTTATTATCATTTGTATATTTCAGCTTACAAGGTGCTTATTTCCATAATTTTGAGAATTTGTTGTGTTAAATCTGAGAATTGGAAAGTATTTGCAGGCTGAAAAAGTCTCTCCTAACTAGACTGTGTGTAATATGGCTTTGCAATGTGCAAGACCCTCTGCACTCTTTTACTTGTTAGCCTTATATTATTTACTTTCCTGAATCTCTACTCACCTTGGAGGAGTGTATAGAACTTGTGCTTTCTGCACATCCCTTACTTGCAGGAGTTTGGGACTATCTTCTTGTTCCAATGTGATTATCTTCTTTAAATATTTCACCACAGTCTCTTCTGTTCAGATTTAACCATGAAAAGCTGTGTTTGTTATTAATAAAACACACAGGACAATCAGGAAGATAAAGGCCTTCATGTTCCATTAAATATTTAAAGGAGGACATTTAGATCCCCCCACTGTTCTAGAGCTGTGTATACCCTTTCCTTTAGAGAGAGCAGACTCTGGAGGCTTTAGGCTATTTTGTCTTGTGAAGAAAATGTAACAGGTCATTACAGATGCCCGTGACTCCAAAAGACATTACTAGGCAAAGGTTCTGATTTAAAGAGCCTTGGAGGTGTGCATGTTTAAAAGGAATTTTGTGATTCAACCATTAGAACAAGACATCTAGAACCGTCAGTACAAATACATTAGGGAGGGGTGGGATGTCTGGAGGGAGTTTTATAGTTAAGAGTTTCCAAGTTAGAATTGTAGTATTCCAGGCACCACTAAGTATCAGAACCCTGCAGCTGATGGCACAAGCTGGAACTCTGGAAACCGAGGGGAGATTTGAAATTAAGTAGCAGAATTGCTAATTCTAACAGAAAGCTTTTCATGTGTTTAGCTTATTTTATTTAGCAGTTTGTTTTATTTTTTTCAGGTTGTTCACAGAGACCTGAAGCCTAGCAATATTCTTTATGTTGATGAATCTGGTAATCCAGAATCAATTCGAATTTGTGATTTTGGCTTTGCAAAACAACTGCGAGCAGAAAATGGTCTTCTGATGACTCCATGTTACACAGCAAATTTTGTTGCACCAGAGGTAAATAGCAGGATAGCTTATGTGCCTTGATTTATCTTTAAGGGACGTTTTTTACTAGTTAGATATTTTTTTCATCCTTGCATAACAAGTAGAATCGCTTTGTAAACACTAAAAATTTGAAATCTTACTATTTTTATGGTGTAATCAAAGCATTTCTGAGCAGGTTTTTCAGCAAAAAAAAATTGTCTTCCTCAGGTTTTAAAGAGGCAAGGTTATGATGCTGCATGTGACATATGGAGCCTTGGTGTTCTGCTTTATACCATGCTTACTGGGTAAGGGTAATTTAATTTTGCTTCCCTATAGAACAGCCAACCAATATAAAAAAAAAAGAATAAAAAATGTAGGTCCACTGTTGCATATACTTCTTTCAAAGCACTGATTAATCTCAACTTTGGGGTTGAGAATATGCTTTGCCTTTAGCAGAATCCAGATTTGCAGGGACTGATGTGAAAAATTCTTTGCTTCTTAACGTTTCATCCGTTTTAGGTGTTTAATTTCTGCTTAAAGGTGATTTAGGACCAAGAATTTGTCTCATGTGAAAATCAGAAGATCAGGCAGCATATATGTTGAAGAAAATATATGTTACAAATAAAATTGCAATGCATTAAAGCCTGATTGTGTGCAAAATTCAGCCACTGAATAGTTTGAAGTGATGCAGTTAGGATATAATGTGTGATAGAAAAGCATTTTATATGCAATAGAAATGAATTGTAGAAAATATAATGAAAACCAAATTCAAATATAGTACCACAAGTTCAAAAGATGTTTGGCAGATGCAATAGCAACTAGATTTATCTTTTCATGCTGGGTTATTAAGGTTGCCACTTTGGTGGGAAAATCTGCTTTTCAGACCGAACAGAGAGGCAATACACGCAGTCAGAACAGATCTGTAGTCTGTGCCATGTGTTTTAATGTGTTAAGAGTAATTTATTTTTATAACTGTTTGACTGTCTGTTGCCTATAATTATGCTGAACTCACTGAATCTTACAATCAGATTTATAATACCTATTGAGGTCTAGGTTATGGGAGTTTATTAACATTGAAATTGTTTGGTTAAATAGCTACACGCCTTTTGCAAATGGTCCTGATGACACCCCAGAGGAGATTTTGGCCCGAATAGGTAGTGGAAAGTTCTCTCTCAGTGGTGGTTATTGGAATACTGTTTCAGACACAGCTAAGGCAAGTATATTTCTTTTATCCTTTGGGGGATCAGGAATGGATTGCAATGTAAAATGGTGCTCATAATTTATATTTTATATCATATATGATTGGGTTTTGCCCCTTGTTATGTTCAAATACTGACCTCATCCCTTATGTGGCTGGAATTTTGTCTCCTGTTTTTGATCCTTTCGTGTTTCAAGGGTTACTTGCATGTAGGAGGAAAAGCAGGTGTGCCTTACCCTGTAGCAGTGAACAGCTGACCTCAGAAATACAGTGTATTTTATCAGTATTCACAACCATGCACAGTTACCCTGGTGAAAAATGCACTACTAAAGCTTCATGTGGAAGCATGACATTAAAAAATTGTACAGACAGTCTAAATCATGATAATGAAAACCACTGAAGTGTTATACTTTTTACTGTAAAAATATCGGACAACTTTTTTGAGAAGTACATCAAATACACCAAATAGACTCTAAACTTCAATGTGCAATATCCTTTATGCCCCTTCTATGTAGATGCTTAAAGTGCTAAAGTTTTCTTTATTTGTTTGGATACCTTCATTTTGTGTTACCAAGTTTCCATTAAGTCACATAATTAAAAGATACACTGTTAGCATTGCAGGGGTGATTTTTCATTTGTTTTAAACTGACATTATGAGCATATTTTTATACCTCTAAAATCTTCAGTTTGGAACTCTAATCTGTTTTAAAGCTGAAGTTTTACTGTTATTATTTGCATTGACCCTTTGTGTATTATTGACAGGACCTTGTTTCAAAAATGCTTCATGTTGACCCCCATCAAAGACTGACTGCAGCCCAAGTTCTTAGTCACCCCTGGATAGTTCACTGTGACCAGTTGCCTCAATACCAGCTGAACAGGCAGGATGCTCCCCATTTAGTGAAGGTAAGCAGATATTTTCAGATTGTTGTTTAGCCAAGAATAGTGTAAACAAAAGAGGGTTGTTTTGATTTTAAAGTTAGGGTAGCATGTGTTTCGTCTAAATACTATTTAGAAGTTGTTATGACTGTATGTTGCACTAAGCCCTAAAATGAACTTGTAATATGTAATAGGATTTAATGAGAAATCACAGGTAGTAAATCTAAAATATTTTAAAAATACTTTAATTTTACTGTGTTTGAAATCTATTGGACTGACTTAGACTCGAAAGGTTTAACTGTTAGGAAACCTGCATAAAGAAATCATTCTTCTGATGGTGAAAAATGTTGTCAGGTGACTATAGAGGAACTGAAAAAAAGCTTAGCTAATTTTACAGTTTCAGAGGAGGGTTAATTCTCAGTAACTAAAATAAAACAATATACTTTGTGTTCACAGTAAAAGCTGTGAAGAAGTCAAAAGGGCAGTGTTAATTACAATGGTATCATACTGTTCTGCAATCTGCCTGAAACGAGATCTGGGTTTGACTCTGAAATTTTTTCACTTTGAACAAGCAGAGGAAAATCAAAAATAACTGAATTCCACTTCTCTGTATTCCACCCTGTTTGCAGTCCTACACTCAAGAATCTCTTGTGCAACATAAAAGGGATCTGAAGAAGATAATTAACACTATCTCTGAGTCAGCTATTAGAAATTTCTAGCATCCAAAACCACAAGTGGAACGTGGGGAACGTTCTGATCCCATGGCTCGCAACTTTCTAACTTTTTTTTTAAATAAATCTTCATGTTCTGGATAATGTTGGTGATTTTATATATTTTGTTGGAAACTGAAATGGTAATATAAGTGATAAGCAGAGACAGCCTACTAATGGGATTTCATTTCCCAAGTATCTCACATAGCAGAAAAAAGATAATTTAGCAATCTAGCTTATACCTTCTGGTTTTGACTTTTTAAGCAATGTAAAACCATTCATTACCCTAAAAAACACTCACTTCTAACACTTCTGGTACTGGAGTAAAGCAGCAGTATGTTTCTGTTTTGTAGATGAAAATAGACAGGAACGTAAAACTTGTTCAGAGTCTCTGGCATTTAGCACTGTGTGTCTATGGTGTGTGCATCAGTCAGAAAATACTCTTACTGGTTTTTCCTCTCTACCCAACAGGGTGCAATGGCAGCAACTTACTCTGCTTTGAATCGTAATCAGTCACCAGTTTTGGAGCCAGTTGGCCGTTCTACTCTTGCTCAGAGGAGAGGTATAAAAAAAATTACCTCCACAGCCCTGTGAAATGACCTCAGCCAGACACTTGGTACCATGGCGTAAGATGATAGCACAAATCATGGCGACAGGTAGCACATATCTGACAGATACCTGCAAGCACACTCTGACCCAGCTGGTACCTATAATGCTGCTGCTCCTGCTGCTGCTACTGCTTTCATCTACTCTCGCTTTAAACTGTTGATGGCAAGTTACTGATCTCACTGGAGCCGCAAACAGAGTGACAAGTGGAAACAATGAAAATGATCATGTTCGCGACTGAATAAACCAGAAGAATTACAAATGCCACCTCTGTCAAAAATACACTGAATAAAGCACTCTGCACCACATAGCATTATTTTTATAAGGAATATTTTTTTTGTCCCCTGAAATATTCTTTGTTACAGGTAGAAATGGACAGTTTATGTTAAGCACTTAGCTTAAACAATCTGTTTATATTAGCACTATATACTTTGTGCCATCCAACATTTTGTATGTTTTTGTAAACAGTTCACAAGCAGTACATTTCCGTGCTGTTTTCTTTAATGTATACATGCCTTGTTTTACTTAGATATTATTAATCATTTTGACAATTAAGTCTGATTAAACAGTTCACCTGGATTAATCAGTATTGTTGGACAGCTCTAAAAGAAGCCTGACTGTTAAACAGCTATTGAATGTAATACTCTATGAATAAGTAGTTCTCCTCACCTATGTCTTTTCTGCATTTTTGTGTTTTTGACACCACGTCATGTTATGAAAATCAGGATACTGTTTATAGTACTCAAAATTCAAACAGTGGATCTCTCACCATACTATATATCCAATAGGTAATATAACCCAGAGAAAAGATAACTTGCTCTGTCTTTTGTTCCCCTTCCCCTTCCTTTTAGTCTGTCCCATCTAATCTCTGGACTCAGGAATCATTGCTAAATACTTTCTGATAGAGGACATTTCTATATTGTTGATTCTTGTAATCCATTGTTAATATTTTATCTCTATTCTATGACTTTTGTTTAAGCTGCAAAGGATTTGTTCATTGTTGGCATTACAGAAGAAAGGCAACATTGAAGATAAAGAAAAATGTTGTCCGCTAATAAGAAGAAACCTGTAAAAGTTTTAAACTGCATTCATTGCAAGTGCAAAACTGATGGATCTAATGTTCTGTCAGTTATTTTCTGCTAATTTTAATTGACATTAAAAGCAAAATGAGAGACCAGTCATACAGATCTGTTGGGTTAGAAAAGGGTCATTCTAATTTAGTGTGAATATAGTATTGTCCCAGTCAGGTAAGATAAAGCTGTTCAGAGTGAACATTCTCACTTTTCTGCAGATGGAAGCAAGTTTGTAATGAGGATGAAAGACTCTAAATACCAATATAAACTTCTAATACCCTTGGCCCCTTGGTGTTTAAAGTAATTAAAGGCGCATCTTGATGGCTGGTCTTGAAAGATCAAATTGCTCACATGAGAGAGCACTGGAATGTGTTTGAATTCAGTGTGTTCCACTCCACCAAAATTACATGCTGCATTAACTCCTTTCAGATATGAAAACAGCTTTTGGGAATTCAGCTTTAGTAAAATATGGATCTAGGTGAATGGCTTACATGAACAATGCAATTTAAAAACTAAAAGGTGCAATTTTTTGTTTTGTATAAGAAGGTATTTTCTTGGTTTAGTTGTATTAAATTTCTTTTATGATGATTAATTGGCTTGTTTCCCTGAAATCATCAGAGATTTGTTGAAAGGGAGAATCATCTGTGACACCACAGATTTGCTCTAAATGAATGGGAGTGCTTCTTCTACCAGAATTTCTGAGCTCCTAAGGGAACCTTCCTTTGTTAAACTTGAAAACAATCCTATTATTGCCCTTAAAAATCTGCTAAATATTTAATCCATGATATAATTTTGAAGGAATTGGTTTTATAAACAAGGATTCTTAAATTAGCATAGATCACAGAAATTTGAATACATGGCTCTTCCTAGCAATTAGTATTTTTCTCTTACTTGGTGCTCTAGCATTGATACTTGCTTTGTACAGATGCGTCTGTCCTTTCTTCAAGAGACATCTCTAACTAGAGGCAGAAAAAGACCATTTTTGGCAATTTTTTTTGACAGTGTCAGCAGTTCCAGAGGAATTTATTAAAACCTTACCTTTCAGAAAATGTATTTTCAGCTCTGTGAGCAATTTTAAGTCAGGCTTCTCAAAGCCTGGAAAATGTACCTTCTAGTGGCTTTTAAAGGTGTTAATCAGAAGATTGACATATCTAGTCAACAAACAGGATTTAAAACTGATACTGTTGAAATAAAGGGATGTCAATACTTGCCAGTGTGTCAATAAGAACAGTTCAGGAGGGAGTTTCTCCTCTGTTCAGTGTATATCTGTAGGTACCTGGCAAAGAACAGACCAAAAAGAGGAAGTGTTAAACTGCCTCACTATTGGCAATATCCATGTTAAAATAATTTAAAAGTACTTCCAGTAGTTTTATTGTAGCAGTATTTTGTTGTCCTCAAGCTCACTGACGATTAGCCAAATAGTGAAGCAAAGTTAACTCCTACATTTTATGTATCTACATTCTCAAGTGAGTTGTTAATTTAGTCTAGACTTGGCAGATGTTGCTATTGTGTCATGTATAGAGCAGCAGAGGATGAACCTTTTAAACTGTAGCAAAACAACTGGGGTTTAGCACACCCTAATTTGACTGCATTCAAGTCTAGACATTTTTAAGTTGCTTTCTAAACCAAGGTGTACAAGGTCTGCCTATTTTACAGGCAAGACATGGTTTTATGTACCTTACCTCCTGGTTCCATGTTCACAACTTCCACATTGATTATGTTTTTTAACTGCAGTTGTTAGAACCTATAGAGAAAATGAGATGATAGTTCTTTGAGTCGCAGCACCTTTCTACAAGAACGTGAGTGTATGAAACACTGTGTACATTCACTGCTGGACTGCTGCTTGGTCTGCAAGGTGTAGCAAGTGACTCAAGGGTGCAGAGACATAAAGGATAAAAAAAGGAGAACTGCAGATACAGGTGAATTTTCTGTATGTCAGCCATGGGTTTTTTTAATTTCTTTTAAGTGTGAAATTATAATTTACTGTGCTTGAGAGCATGAGGGAATGGAGCGAAAAGAATAGTTGCAATACTCATTAAATGCCATCTATATCTAGTAAGGGCAATGTTCTGTATTCATAATCACTATGACATTGAATGAATCTTATAGGGAGGTTTTCAAGAAAGTATTTAAAACTTTTTTCTAAAAAGACAAGGCCATAAGAAAATAGATTTATGTGTCTGGGATTTTTTTTGTGTGTGTTTCGCTTTTGTAAATGTGGTGTACCAACTAAAGCTGTGCTTTTCTATTATTGGAAGGAAAGGATTTAAAGTGTCCTGGCCCTTAGTAAGCAGCAATGGTTAATAGATGAATTTTCACTTATGAAAATTATGTAAATGATTAGCTTTATCTGATACTCTTGACCTAATCAAAGGGAAGGTGTACTTATGAGGGATGTAATTATTTTGCAACCTAGTTGGGGGGGAGTCTATTTCAACCGTTTTTAAAAAATTACAAAATCACAGATAAAATATTTTTCTACGATTCTATACAATCATCCTTTATACTAGTTTTCTCAGCATGGCATGTAAGTGAGTCTAAGGTACTGTTCCAGGAAATCAGTGGTATTGTACCTTATTCTAGACCATTAAAATAGCATCTGTTAGATGCTTGGCACTGCTGTCATAGACCTGAAATGCTAGTTTTAAAAAATAAAAAAAAATGTACTGAATACTTTAAATGATTGTTTTATTCAGAGTCTGATATAGAAAATGTTCAAATCATGTTATTAATGTGTAATTAAAACTGTTCCAGATGTAACTAGAGACAGTTCTGGAAAGTTATCATTGCTTGTTCTCCTGTCTAATGGCAGGTTTTGTAGTCTTCAAAAGAAATTGAAATTTCTACTATGAATAAACTTTCAAACATCTTAAAATGCTGGTTTGTTTAATTGTTTGTCCTGCCCAGTTATAAAAGTCATCATTTGTTCATCACTAACACAGAACTCTACCTTTACAGCGCACACAGTGTGCATTGCCAACCAGAAGGGCTTTTTAATAAAAAATTTAATTTTTTTATTTAATATAATGTTGCAGTGCTACCACGTGTTGGGTCAGCTAAAGAGGGAGCCAAAGGAAAAATACACATATACAGGAGATGCTTATAGATCTGATATATGATACAAGACCAAAGTGCAAGGATATTGTATTTTAATACCCTGTAAAGATCCCAGTCCAATCTAAACTAGCACTTAAAGGGAGGCTGCTAAATAATACCTGCAATGCCTGCATTGCTCTGGACATTGAAAATATAGGCATCTTTGATAGTTAATGAGCCTTTTAAATATTTGAAAAATGAAAATATATGCAGAAGCACTCTGTAAACAAGAGCCCATATTTTAGCAGTTCACACAACTTGGAAGCTTACTTACAGCTGTAATTAATTTTAGCCTTGCAACCCAGAGAATGTGGAAGATTTTCCAAAGTTTGCATAGTTTACATAAAATTACAGTAATTTTGACAGTGAGTTTATGAGGAATGTAACCAGAGGCCTTCCTCAGGTATCAAAGAAAGGTATCAGAGGATACGAAGAGGGGTTTGGTGACTTGTACAACAGAAGGTGAGGAGAGAGATGAAATTCACGCATGGGATCCAAGGTGTGCATTGCTGCTACCCTTTGCTCACACAAGGCTTTGCCCCACCTGTAAAAGCACCTTTAAATTAATTTACAAATAAACTGGATGATCTGTCAGCTTCAGGAAACTCTGCAAAGGAAGAAAGGGGGGCCGATATAACATAGATCCTGTTGTTATTATCTCCCCTTACTTTAGCCTTCCTTACCTTCATACCCACTCACTTTCAGAATGGTTTGGGTTGGAAGGGACTTTAAAGATCATCCAATTCCTGCCGTGGGCAGGGACACTTTCCTCTAGATCAGGTTGCTCAGAGCCCCATCCAACCTGGCCTTGGCCACCTCCAGGGATGGACACCCACAGCTTCCCTGGGCGACCTGTTCCAGTGTCTCACCATCCTCACAGCAAAGAATTTTTTCTTACTATCTAAGCTAAACCTACTCTCTTTCAATTTTAACCCATTCCCCCTTCTCCCGTCGCTACGTTCTCCCGCAAACAGCCTTGCCCCCTCTCTCCCGTGCGTCCCCCTCAGGTTCTGGGAGGGGCCGCGCTCCGGCCCGGCGGTGTGCGCGGTGTGCCCGGGCCGGCTGGGTGCGCGGTGTGCCCGGCTGTGTGCGCGGTGTCCCCGGCGGTGTGCGCGGTGTCCCCGGACCGGCGGTGTGCGCGGTGTCCCCGCGCCGGCTGTGTGCGCGGTGTCCCCGGCGGTGTGCGCGGTGTCCCCGGACCGGCGGTGTGCGCGGTGTCCCCGGGCCGGCTGTGTGCGCGCTGCCCGCTCCTCTCCTTTCCCCTGGGCTCCAGCCCCGGCCGCTCCGCCGTTCCGGCCCGGCCGTGTCCGCACCCGGGGCCGGGGCGGGAGTGCCGGGCGGTGCCGGGACCCCTCCGTGCCGCGGGGGGCGCTGTGGGCCCGGGGGCGCCGCGGCCGGAGCGCAGCGCACGAGCCCGCGCAGCGCCGGAGCCGCCCCCGCCGGTCCCGCCCGGAGCCGCCGCCGAGCCCGAACCGCCGCCCCCGCCGCTCCCCGCCCGCAGCCCCCGCCCGCAGCCCCTCCGCGGCGGAGCGCCCGGCGCCATGCCCAAGAATAAAGGTGAGGCGCCTGTCCGGCTGTGGGGCCCGCAGCGGCGAGGCCCGGCCCGGGCGCGACCGCGCAGGGCAGGCCAGGCCCGGGGGGGCCTCTCACGTGGGCGCCGCCGGGGCCCGGAGCCTTCGAGCAGGGCCGGACGGGCCCTCCCGCCCCCACGGAGGGTCCCCGGGCCCGTTCCCCCTGCCGGAGACCGCCGGGGCCCGGCCCGGAGCGGGAGGCCCTGCCCTGGGCTCGGTTGTCAAAGGCGGCCCTGCCCAGGAGGCGGCCGGGCCCTCGCTGGGCAGCGCCGGCGCCGCTGCTGCTGCCCCCCTAATCCCCCACCCGGAAAGGAAGAGCAGAAACTGCGAGGGGAAGGGAACGGCAGGTTTTTAACAGGGGGGCTGAAGTATGAGCTGATCTTGTACGTCTTCGTGAAGAGCATCTAGTGCTGTCGCCACGTGTGTGCCTTTTAAAAAGGGTAGCTGTACCTGGAGCATTAGCTTCCCCTTGAGTGTTTCAGGGATTTTAGCACCACGGTAACTCGGGTTATTCATCTGCTTCGTGATGGTTACGTGCGTCAGGTTATCCCACCATTATTTAGGAGGTGTGTGGTGGCAGGGATCACAGAAGCTGGAAATGGCCATCTTGTGGAAATCCTTGTTGAAGGCTGCTGTCACTCCAGAGCAACCAGGACATCTTGTACAGTGGAGACTCTATGTAACTACTCAGCTAAAAATTTAGACCTACAAATGTTAAAAGTAAGCAAAAAAAAATCTAGATTTGGACAGGACACTTGAAACAGCCATCTAGAGAACAAGCACAGAAAAATCTCCATAAGTCTGATTATTTCATTCACTATATTCAGACAGTAACACGTGCTTTTTCCTCCTCCCCCTTTTAATTTAGGCAAAGGAGGTAAAAACAGGCGACGAGGTAAGAATGAGAATGAATCAGAAAAAAGAGAACTGGTGTTCAAAGAAGATGGGCAAGGTGAGTTTTTAACTATAGTATGGCAGTGTCATTGTTTTCAGTCACGTACTATAAGTGACAGACATTGGAAGTTGATACACAAAACATCTGGATGACTGAGAAAAGTGAAGTTACTGTTATTGAATAAAGAGAGGTATTCTTATTGGGGTTGTATTTGAGTTCTAAATGACATAGAAGAAAGTAGGAAAAGGGAAATTTTAAATAGCTCCACTACTTAAGAATGAAGCTTGCCTCTCCTTGACCTCTCTGCGATGCTCTGTGTAAAACAGCACATAAGCATTCCCTAGAAGCCCCTTGAGTAGCTTTGGGCGAGGGGCTGTAAACAGCTGGCTTAGCAGATGTGGCCAGTACTTGTCTCTGGGATGCACAGTCCCACTTTCTGTTTTATACTGACTGTGATGTCTCTTGAATCCTTCAGTGTGCTCCCAAAGTCTGACCTGACAGAAAACCTCTCATGGTTTGGCTCCTGGGCTGAGAAGTCTCACAACTATTAAAACAGGAGCAGTAGGTCCTTGCTGGGCTGTTGTCAGGTGAAGGAAGCTGTAGGAGTGGAGGGTGATGATGACATTCCCCTCTGCCCTGCCTTTTGGTGACAGTGAGCTCACCTGCCTTTTGACTCGCCCTGTCTCTTGTGTCACACTCCTGTGGTCGCTCACATAATCCGAGTACTTTCCTAGTGACCGATTAATCAGTTGGTTGGTCAGAAGCATAGTCCTGACTGAAATCACTGTAAAAGAACTGAAACTGAACCAATTTCTGATATTCTGTGATGGCTGCAAGCAAAAGAGTTGATTTTGATGAACCTACAGAACTTAAAATCCTTTTCAACTCCCAAGCAAAATCCACTCAATGAATTATTCTGTTATGAATAGTCTCATGCTTGTTGGACTATCGTACTTGTGCTAAGGGAAAGATTTTAGAATGTTGAGATACAGCTCTGGCTAACTGAGAGAATCTTTTCCCTGGCAAATATGGGTGATCAGTTCATGTTAACTTTGTAACTTACAAGCATCATCATCATCATATAATAATAATATTACAAGCTTTATTCCTTTTCGTTAAATCATAATACATTATGCTCCAAAGTTCAATAATGTGTGTGAAGTTCTCCAGTAGTCATTTCTGGAACTTGGTGAGGGAGGAGATGAAATAACACCCTGAGGGACTGAGGATAGGTGTTGGAGAGATGCTTCGTAGATTTCAGCTGAAGTCTGGTAGTTGACAGCAGTGAGATTTTGTCAGGACAGGTGCTGTGATGCCATCATAAACTTTCAAACTCTAAGTGTGACTCAGTAGCTCTGAAAATTATTTATAAGTAAGTGTTTCAGAGGGAACAAAAGCATGGATGCAGACAGTATGAGCAGTCTTCGAAAATATTGACATTAACAGTGGCACAAAAACTGTGAGACATTCAACAGCCTGTGTGGCTGCTCAAAGCTCCTCTCAGCTGTTCATGTTTTGACTAAAATTTTGGTTACAATGTCAAAAGCTATTGGATGCATCATGAAACTGGATTTGTTTAGAAGTTTTGCTCAGTGGTGCTTTGGGATGTGGTAGACTCAGCGGTGCTGGGTTCAGGCTTGGACTTGCTGATCTTACAAGTCTTTTCTGACCTAAATGATTGTATGTTTTTATATGTTACCATCTCTTTCAGAATATGCCCAGGTGATCAAGATGTTAGGCAATGGAAGACTGGAGGCATTATGTTTTGATGGTGTGAAGAGGTTATGTCATATTAGAGGGAAGCTAAGAAAAAAGGTAATTCTGAAGCATTGCAATAGGGAACAGTGACTTTATGCATGCTGTGTAATTGTAAAAATTTACATACGTAGCTCGTTACAAAAATTAGTATTTCTACTGCACTTAATACCTTAAATATTTTTTTGGTAGTAAGCTAGTTTATCTTTCTGTTTCTCTTGCCAGCACAAGAGTAGGTCGTGTTTGGCTTTATTGAAGCTCGTAGTTGAAGGGCTGCCTTTGGATGAGTGTATTTCAGAGGAGGGGGGTTTGGCTGCTTATCAAATACTAGCTTTTGTATTCTAGAAATTCTGTTTAGAAACCCATGTTCTGTCTCATACTAGATCAGCACGTAGCTTAGCAGTAGAACTTCTATAAAATGAAGATTGACACCCAGCATAAGAAAAAAAGAGGTGTAAGAGACTTGTCCCAAGCCACCTTTGTTATGTGCTATTTCCCAAGACCAATAAGAATCAGGGTTTGAGACCCTACTTAGTCTGATCTGTGGAGGAACCGAATGATTACCATCTTCTCACAGGGTGACTTACCTGGGAGTAGTTCAATAAGGGCAGTTCAGGAATGTTTTTTTATAGCTTCCCACAGGCACCTCAGGTGCCATCATTTCATTGTCCACTTCAGCAGCTCCCAAAACACTTCTGTGCAAAGCTGATCAGCAAAGATTTACCTTTGGGGCAGTCAAGTGTATGTGTTTATGTTCTTGGAGACGATGAATGCACATGTCTTGCTATCGGTGTGAGCAGTGCAACAGCTGCCTGCAATAAACTGTTGAAGGTAGTGGAGAATGTGCATAAATAAACACTAAGTGCTGCAGAATTAACTTCTTGCTACAGAAAGCATCACTTATCTATTCCCCATGTCTAAAAGAAAGGAAATCTCAGCTAAAAATGTGTTTGATCTCCAAAAAAATCAGCTCCAAAAGCTGATGTGGGACAGAACCATTTTGTGCATTTAAATTAGCACGTCCTGTTTTGCAGACTTTTGATTAACATAGTTTCTGGAAACAGCTGTGTGCTCTTCACTGTGCTTGTCCATCACCCCCTTCATCAGGTTTTGCTCTGAGTTTTGCCCTTGTGGAGCTCAGTTCACAGAATGGTGGCTTGATGCATTATTTCTGTTTTCTCAGAAGTTAAGGCTTAGTAACCACTCTGTTGGCCAGAAGCTCTTCAGAGAAGTTGGATGTACCTTGTAATAGTTCTGTAACATATAAAAGAATGTAACTATGAGTACTTTATGACCTCAGTTTTGCTGTTAAAATACGAAATTGGATATTTCCAGCTTACTGGTTAGAAAGTGAGGGTGGTGGCTGTAAGTGATGTTTCATGTCTCTCAGCAGATGTAAATGTACTACTTGCTTCTTGTGTTGCACAAGAGAAGTTGAATTGCTGTAACATGATGTATTTTTTCTCGTTCAGGTTTGGATAAATACATCTGATATTATATTGATTGGCTTAAGAGACTACCAGGTAAAAATTCAGTATAATTTGCCAATAAAGAGTGTCTTATAAGCAGCTTTATTTAATGTTAAACTGCAGCAGGTGTTGTGAGGAAATTCCCATCTTAATTTGTCTTTAGTTATGCTAAATCATGACTTTTAGTTCCCTTGTATTACAGAAGAATTGTAATGAGTAGGCAAATTCTGGTTCAGCTTGTTCTTCTAAATTGCACCCTGAGACTTTGTGAGTGGAGGTGCTTATTGTCATCACACCTGACCTTATTTTTTCCAGATATAGCTGTTTGATGCTTGGATCCTGTGATATAAAGGGAGAACGGGTCAAACACCAAACATTTTATTGTGATAATTGTAATTTTTGATAATCAGAATTTTGGAGCCTTGATGTTTAGGCTTTTACCTCAAGAGACAAATTGGTCAGGGATTAGTTTGTGCTTAAATGTCCAACTATGGAGTAGCATAATTTTATCTAATATCAATGGTAATGGAAAACAGTTGTCAGATTTTCATTTGGTAAATGCCCTTCATGTATGTTAGTGTTGTGTCTTCAGTTGAAATAAATTCTGCTCCTGAAATGTGCATTAGAGTTGTAAAACATTATAAGACACTGTCATTTACTGTATGTATTCAAGTACTTAAAACTAGGAATTTTTCATTTTGGCACTTTCTGATTGACTCCCAACCACCTCACTATGTGTGATCTCTGAAGAAAGGTTGATTTCAAAGGCATGAAACTGAACTTCTGAAATTGTCAGAAGTTCTCAATCGTCTCAAATTCTCATCTTGCTGCCCAGAGAAGTCGTGGAGCACCACCCCTGGCAGTGTTCAAGGCCAGGCTGGATGGGCATTGAGCAGCCTGGTCTAGTGGAAGGTGTCCCTGCCCTTGGCAGGGGTGTTGGAACGAGATGATCTTTAAGGTCCCTTCTGACGCCAAACCATTCTATGATTCTATAAATTACTTGTAATGGGAAAAACTTAGGTTCCTACCCAGAAGAAATGAAAATACTCCACAAGTGAGGATTTTCTGCTTAACATTTAAAGAAACTGGAGGGGAAGGAGGAACAAGATATTCTTCTATGAATAATATAGGTGTTACTCCACTGTAAATAATATAGTTGTTGTAAGTAACATAGTCTGCTGAGGTTAATAGATTTATTTTTGCTTCATAGATGACTAATGAATTCTAATAAATTCTTTTATAGGATAACAAGGCTGATGTTATTCTAAAGTACAATGCAGATGAAGCCAGAAGTCTGAAAGCATACGGGGAGCTTCCAGAACATGGTAAAAACCTTTTCACTTCAAATTGGAAGTTCATATTGGACAAGAATATTCAGTCTATCTTGACATGGTGTGAGTGCACTCCTGAACTTCTCTAAATTCCTTTTTAGCCAAAATCAATGAAACAGACACATTCGGTCCTGGAGATGATGATGAAATCCAGTTTGATGATATTGGGGATGATGATGAAGATATTGATGATGTAAGTAGTAAATGTGTATTTTGTGTCATTTTTGACAATATGGTGGTGTTCCTTGTTTCGTAGGCAGTAAAATAACACACTGGTGTTTTGAATAGGGACTGCTTCAGGTGAAGGTATTCACCACTCACAGTGGTGAGGTGAATGCCAGCTTTCTGTTCTTCTGTCCTGTCCTACAAGCATTCCCCAGCTGACCTCTAAGCACACAGTACACTTAGTGACATGTTGTTAAAACACACATGGAGAGCAGTCTTCTCATTACCCTGAAGATGCCTAAAGGATAATCGAAGTTGTTTGACCCCCAAATTCCTCTGTAGGTTTAACAACCTTACTGTCTAATCAGAACTGCAGAAATAACTGAGGCATTCATGTTTCTTAAAAAACAAAGGCTTTAGTTATCCATTTTTGTTTACATAAAAATAATAAAAAGCTGCATTTTAATAGTTTCTAATGTTAACCATAGTCTTGAGTTTACAGATTGTGGCAATCACTTGTTACTGCTGATCACTCCATAGTAACTGGCCATGCACACTCTGAAATGTTAGTAATAAAATTGCTGTGATTCAGATTTTATAGTAAATTGCAGAAGTAGGATCTGCTGTGCAGCGTTTTCTAACGTGATGCACTTTATTTACAGTTGAGAGATGAATGTGTGCAAGGTCAGCTGGCTGAGAGGATAAGTAGTAACTTACTGAGCCACTGAGTTAATTGGATAGACTGTTCTAAGCATATTATTATGTTTTAATTCTTCATCTTTTTAGTCCTCTCTCTCTTAGTTGATACTATGGCTAATTCTTTTAAAATGCTTACCTTATTTTGACTTTTTTGAGGTTCTCAGAATATGATGCATTAGAACAAATATTTTAAAACTATCAAAATCATCAGACTTTTGGCCTGCCAGTGACTGAGCTTACTGAAGATTTAGCTCACGGAAGCTAGAAAAACTTGATAGTATTGTGTGCTTTTAATAATGAAGTTAATTGTAAGGCATCAAAGTGATACGAAACTGCAGAAGAAATTTGCAAACTAATGGATCTGTGTGTGGAATATTGTATTTAAGTGAGCTATGATTGTTTTTAAGCTTTTGTCAGCTGTGCAGATAATATTAATATCATGCTTTAGGAAAGGAAAAGACATAAAGACAAAGTGTAAATAACCTCTCTGAGGGTCACCCTGGTGTACCTGGGATGAAGTGCAGATTCCAAGGTCATAGTTCAGGTGAAAAACTCTGTGGAATCTTTTATTTATTTTTTATGTCAGAAGAACGATAGAAGGTCACTACTCAGGGAATTGACCCTCAAACTTGGTTTATTTTTGTTTTTGAGAATCATTGGCTAATTTGTGTCTGTACTATTGATGCATAGTTGTATTGCAGATACTGTGGTTGTGCAGAATTGCTCCCCTGCATGACCAGAGTATTGTCACAGAGCTGTGGGGACATCAGTGGAGAGCGATTGTTCACATGTTTTAGAAAACAGGATGTGAGCTGAGGCAAAATCAGGACTGTACTAAATTCGGGAAGACTCCTGTTGAACTGTAAAAGTAACTTAAAGAAAGAGTTGCTTGATGAAAAATGCACTTGCATTAGATAAATGACGTGGTGTTTTTGCTTTTCAGATCTAATTTGAAACAGAGGTTTACATTCCGACTTTTTTCCTCCAAGGATTGTTCTACATTGATACTTCGATTATTTTTTGGGTGAAGTCCCTTGCTTTTAAGAGAACCGAAAATTCCTGGTAAAGAGTGTAGTTTGTTACATCAAAAGGATTTATTTTCAATGTTTGTTTTAAAGTATTTATATTTCTTTAGAAATGGATAATGCTGGATTATCACAAAGGTTCAGTGACACACCACAAATATTTTGTCTCTTCACCAATTAGAGCTTTTACCTCTGGATGTAAGTGACATACAGTGACATGGGCTGTAAAAGACTGCATTTTTCCCTCTTCTGCTTTCATCACTACAATTCCAGTTAAACTTGTATTTTGAAATAAAAAAATGTTTACCCTGTAATTATCATTAAAGACAAATACCCAGTTCAGATTAGTATCGAATCATACTATGCAGTGTCTGTCCTTATACCCCTTGCCTTGATGTTACCTTTAAAAAAGATTTTGATAATATAAAAGGAAGGCAGAAATCTGCATTTAAACTCATAATGCTCGATGAATCTGCTTTTCATGTCTAGTAGCATGCTGCTATTTTTATACTGATTTTGATAATTAAAAACACTCATTATTTCAGAGGTGTAAATTTTCCACGGTGGAGGGAGGGGTAGGGGAGGAGGAAGGATAAAAAGTGAGCAGCATCTCAAAATTTCGCAGTTTTTTGGGAACTGCGGTTCGTGCTGAGGCCGAGCTGTAGTTGCAGACGATGAACACTGGGTGGCGCCCGACTGAACAGCGAGACACGAATGCGACACGTTCCCGGTCGGGTTTGTGCTGAAAAATACATAAAACAGGTTTTCCCCAAAGTGAACGCCTAACACTCTCGATATGGTAAACATGTAGAATATTTTTACATTATATAAAGGGTTATGTTAAGAGTAGAGTTTTATTTTAATCTGAAATTCCATACATTGTAAGGTGCAACATAAAAGCTTACGTGAATGTTGAGCAACAATATAAATGGGAAAATAAATTTGTGTCAAAAGTAGGAAGAGAATCTTTTCATCCAGAATAAATCACTGAAGCAAACTACTGGAAAGATTCTTCTCCATCTTCAGACTGGAGGGATCAGTTGAGAAACTGAATAAAGAACTAACATCATCATGCAAATATTATTTTGTGGTAGCCTTAGTTTCTTTGTCTTCAATTATGTATTTAACAACTTTGAAAGCAGGCTAATGGAAAACTTCCTTTTGTGCCATAAAGATCTGATTCTTGACACTTGTATTCCTTATACAGTCTTTTTGGTATGATGTAAAGTGACTACCCCAATAGATAAAAACAAAATGACTTTAAATACGGAGTGGCCTCATTGCTTTACATGAGTTTTAAAGAGATTTAAACATCCAGAGCTTTTGTGAAAATGTCTTCCCTTTTACTTCTTTCTTTCATTATAGTGTCTTGTCTTCCTTACGTGGATCTGGTATCTTGCACTAGGAATAACATTTTCTTAGTATTAAGTAATTTTGCCCAATGTTTCATGGATTTTAAATATTAGTTGTAAAATCTTGCTAAATACTGAGGAAAAGATACTACACTACAGTGTTCTTATTCTACTGATCTTTAAGTATCAATTTATTGTCTTTGTATGCCTGTCAGGTTCACTTGTGAAGGAACAGAAATGCTCTGATATTCCAAGGTGAGGCTTATAAACCATTCCCACACTCATTGGTTTCCTCAACGTATTAAGCAGGCCTTTAACCTCTGAAAATGGTTAAAAGCTCTCTAAAAACTGATCTTGAGATCGAAGTGCAGAAGGTATCTGTTGTTCCAGCTGTACTAATGAAAAGGTTAATGATTGAATTGCAGTGCCTGTGTACTGAAGGTACAGATATTGTGGAAACTATACTTGCCCAAACCCATCTTGTGTGTGTGGGAAGAACGCAAAGTGCATGGTCAGTGCTAAGGAGAAACACAAATGTGCACACTGCTGCTGTAGGGAACTCACTTCACTGTACCAGAGACCTCCAGTGCAGCAGAGATTTAAGCTGTGGGTCAGGGATGAAGCTCTGTGCTTGTCAGAATTGGTTATGGTTTGTCCTGAGGTTCCTCACAATCTTATTGCTCCCAGGCTCGTGTCTGGCTCAACCTAAACTTTGAAGGTTTTAAGGAAATTTCCTATTTAACTGGTAATTTCTTAATAGTGCTCTGGCTCAGCACTGTCTGGTTTCTGCTTACATGCTGGGCTCTGATGCCTCCTTGGGTACACTTGGTCATCTTGTTTCTCCATCCACTGCTAAAGCTCCCTTCATAGTCCAGAGGGACTTTTATTGTCCCTCTTACCTCTCTTTTTTTTGGAGTGGAAAAACAGTTTGTACAAGTAGCTGTGTTTCCCACATCTCCATGCAGAGAACAGTGGTAGAACAGCAGCTGCGAGGTACAGGATTGCAAAATTGCTGACTCTAAAGCCATGAAAGGTGCTCCATCTGTAAGAGTATTTCCTAGATACATTTTCAGTAATTGTTTAACTTTGGGAACTGTTGCTAGATAGTATAGTGCACTTTATATCAGGTATAGTGCAAAATTGAAAGTAAGGATTCAAAAATTATTCTTCTGCAGCCAAAGTATAAACTTTGTGTTCGCTGTTTCCCACTTTGAGGTTTTCTCTGTGGTTAACATTTTGAAAAATTATTTTAATTCATTGTTCCAAATCTTCTTTGTCTCTTTACCTTATAATAGGGGCAGCCATGCATTTTCTTGGACAGGCCTAATTTTTTTCCCTGCTAATCTTTAGCAGATACAATCCAGATACAGTAGCTGAAAAAAGCACATGATTAAACAAAAGACACAACACTGCCATGCTGATCCGTGACACAGCCTCTTACGTTCCAGGTATGGTACCATATCATATGTACACACACCTCAAGTGGTGTACAGATGCAGCCTGCTCGAGGTGAGGCTGGCACAGGGATTGCTCTGCACCCTGGGCTGTGGCTACAGCTGGAAATGGGCCAGTGACAGAGGGTGCCGTGTTACTCCACGTGGTATCCAGCCGTGCTCCCGACCAGGTTCTTCACAATGAACAGGCAGGACTGGTGGCACATCTGCATGTGAAATAATGCAGGGACTGCTGCTCCCTGAGGCCCTCTGGCCCTAAGTCCTGTCTTCAGGTGAGTTGAGATGTCAGCTGTTCCTGCTGTTGAGCAAGCTCCAGTCTAATCCATAATTATTTCCTGTTCCTGAATTTGAATATCAAGGGACTTGAACTGTCATATGGTTTCCTGGAGGACTCAAACCTGGCTTTTCAGCTGTGGACACCATAGGTAGTTCGACCACTTTTTAGAAGAAGACTTAAAATTAAGTGGAGTCTTCTGGAAGATGTGTGGGACGAGGGAAGTATTATCTGAAATCACCCTGTAGTAGTCTGAGTGCAGTTTATTTGTCCCTTTAAACTTGAGGCCCGTTGCTGGTTTTTCTGAAGGTAGCTGTTGGCAATGCTTTCTCATTTTGATACAAAAATGAATCTTGAGAATTTATTTCTCGGACTGTGATTGCCCTTCCCTTTGCAGAAGGAGGGAGAAGAGGTAAGTAGGGAGGATGCCTTTGATTCGTTATATTTTGAATCACAGCAAGCAGGAGTCAGAGTTCCCATTGATTAATTCAGTTTATAGCTTGTGCTCTGCCTTGTCCATCAGATTTCATGCCAGAGATCAACATTGTGATTATAAAATGCCATCTCAACGAAATAAAGGAGCAAACTGAACATTGTGAGTACCTTCTTGGACTAATTCCAACTAGGAAGTAGGTACTAGCAGCAGGGAGCCACTAGAAGCATCTAAAGACTTGTTTCTCACTTTTAAGTGGGTGGTTGCTCCTGAGCCACACTTGGGATCCAAATGTTTTAATTCCACCAATTACATTTTCAGGACTATTGTTATATGCTTAGTGGGATAAAAAATACACAGATGAGACTGTGTTGTCTGTCCTGTGAAGCTTTTCTTCATGTTTTTTCCATGGTGTTCGTAGACAGAGAGGACACTTGCACAGCAGTTTTATTTATATCCAGGCTGCTGACTCCAGGAAGGAAAGCTTCAGCAGAAGTTGACAGAGACTTGGTAACAGATGAAGGGCCTGTTACTGCATCACTTGCTCAGTAAATTCTCCTTGAAGCACTCTCACTGTGTTTTGTAGGCACCCACTCTTCCCTCTTGCAGAAGTGAGTGGCTTGTATTTGTGTGTCTGAGCTGTGGTGGTGTAGGAGTCTCTCCTGTGGCCAGCAGCATCTATATTCCTTAATCAATCCTACTCTTCTTTATGGTTAATGAATTTTATTCCCAGCTGAGGAAGATGATGAGTTAAATGCCTTTATGTGATTGGCCTCTGGAGGGAGCAGACAAGCCAAAACCCAAGACCTTGACAGGTCAGAGCAAGCAGATTGCCTCAGCCTGTGGGTAGAAGGAGATCCTAGCGCTGGGTGTCAGGGACTCAGAGGTGCTCGGTATCTGCAATAAGTATTGACAGCAATGGAAATACTTGAAGGGGAGTGGGGTGGGGTGTTAAGGTTTTTAAGGTTTTCAATCTTCCTAAAGAAGCAGCTGATTGAAGGATGTAAGAATGGGCTGAAGTGCAAGCCTGGCACTAGCAGCAACATATGATGATGGTACTGCTGTTCCCAGCTGTAGTAAATATAGCAAAGAGCAGCAGATACACTGGAGGAACCCCGTGGGACACCCAGAACTGTATAGGCTGTATATGTTCCACTGTCTGTGGTGCCAGCTGTCAGGGAGGATTCAGCTTTGTGACAACCCTCAAGACAGTGACAGGACACTCTGCAGTTACTGTGTTTAGCCTCTATGCTTCGGGAAGAAAGTCAAGTGCTGCACAGGGCTGGAGGAAACAGCTTCTGACTTACAAGACTTTGAAACTAACTGTAGTAGACAGTGGTGGAGGGTGGGGAAAGATGTAGTAACGAGGTTTCTGAGAGGAATTTTACTCTTTTGCTGCCTGACCCATGAAAAGATCTTCCCTGCTCAGTACTGAAACTGGAGATACATAGAGAAGCTACAGGGCTGAAAGGTGTGGAAGACCTTGCCCCCTTCCTATCCAGTGGACAGCAATTGTGCCAACTTGCCAAGTTGCTCTGGAATATGTCTGGGATGTTAATAATCAACTGTTGCAGCAGGTGGCTGACCAGGGGGAGTCTTGCAGCAGCTCAGTCACAGGGACCCTTGTGCAAATAACAATATGCAGCCGGATCCTAAGCTTTGCTGAACATGGCAGGAGTAGCCAGTGCTAAGTAACTGTGTGGGGTCTGAGGGAATATACAGAGATGGATCTTCAGAGCTGGTTCTGCCAGCCTTGTTAGCTGAAAACATCTTAAAAGATGTCCTAAGACCCACTAGTGCCTTGTCCAGTGTTACTCTATTCCCCTTGAGTGACTGGGTCAGAAGTAATGGACACCTGTATCTCACTGAGGTTGTCAGCTCCATCCCCTTAATAGCAGCTTATACCACTTCCAAACCAGTAATGTGTCTTTGGGTCACTGCTGTTAACAAGAGTAAGGGTGAGTGAGCAGAAACCTCTTCCCAAAATAGGGCAGCAATTTCACAGAGGTGTCAGAAATGTGCAACAGCTTAGGAACTGTTTCTTTAAAAATGTGAGTGGAACAAATACTATTACTGGTGTGTTGTTATACTGGCACTGACTGATGAAACAGTTGTTGAAAAGAGGAAAAAGCCAATATTAGCTAGTGCTTCTCCGTATTAATTACGCTGTAATCCTCAACAACTCCCTTCTCTCCCCCTCCTGTCCCCAGTTTGAATTGATGTATCCTATTGCTGTGTGTATGCTTTGTGCACAGATGTAGAGTGATCTCGGGCTTCATGAAATGTTTTAAACTACACTGCTGTAAAGTCAGTGTTTACGACTACTAAAGTCAAGGTTAACTGTAGTATTTAGCATAGGGTAATATAGAAAATAATATATGGTTACAGAGAAAGAGAAAATAATGTAGACGGTAGCTGACTATATGGTTTTATAGGCAGCTTAGGTTAACCTAGCAATAGTTACATAGGCCAGAGATGTTAGAGAGTCACAAAACATTGAGGATGTGTATCTGATCTAGGGCATGGGAAGATGTTTAGAGGAAACAGCTTGAGTGCCAAGTAGCCGATAATTTTATATTGAGAAGGCAGCATGACTGTCTCTGATTACTTGTGTAGATTGACATCTAAATCAATTAAAATAATAACGGGGGAAGGAAGGAGGGTATGACACGTAGTAGTTTCCTTCTTAAATACGCAAACCTTCCTTAAAACAGGTAATTTCCTTCTTAATGGTTTTCAAAATAGTATTTAC